TGTTCTGTCATATAATAAATGTAGCAAGTAGGTCCAGTCCAATCCATGAATCTTGTTATATGCCAGTTAGAGTAATTTCATGGAGCTTATTTTGGGATGTGGGGCAGATGGCATGTTCTTGGGTACAGTGGAATCGGGGGAAGTAAATGTTTGCCTGACTTCTCCAAAGTCAATTTGATAGAGACAAAAAAAGAGTTGCTTATTTCTTTCCCTTGGTTGAGTTTTCACTTTACCTGCTATCCTTTTCTACAAGTAGAAAGCATCAGTTGAATTGGACTTTGCCCACATTGCTGCAGAGTAGTGGTTTGCTTTCCATAGTGTTGATACTAAAGATTTTTAAAAATGCAAGGTAGTGGGTGAGTGTGTAAACAGGGAGCAGGCTTTTTGCTTTATACCAATGGCTGAATTCTCAATTCCCCTCTCCAATTGTAGTTAGAAGGGAGTGTGGAGGTAAGCCAAGGATCGGCCAGAGTATTTTGGTTAGTGCTGTCCTTTTTCTTCAGCTGTAATATTTCTAGAGGTCTACACTGATGTTTAGTGTATTAAAAATCATATGCATGTGGTATTTAAAAGGATGGCCTATGTGAAACGTGTGTTCTTCAGAACCTAGTTATTCAACAGCTTCTGGCCATCTGTCTGTCTTCACAGATTAGTGATCTGTGTTTTGCTTTTGACTCTTTCTGAAGCATGTGACTTCTACAATCCCTGGTTCTCCTCATCCTGTATTTCTGTTGCATTGGATTCTGAATGTCTTGTCTCCCATTTCCTGTGTGTCAGCTGCTTGTCTGGTAATAAGAGAGCAGGACGCTCTATTTCATCATACAGCAGTTAAGAAAAAGTTGGCTTTCTCAAGGGTTGTGTAATGTCCAGTGGTATGTTGAGTCATTATCAGGATATTTGTGGAGAAGACTGAGGAAGTGATGAAAAGTATGCTAAAGATGATACTTTCTCTAAAGTAAGAGGAAGTAGAGCAATGTTTATAGCAAGAAATAGGACTGTCTCCTGTATCTTGCTTTCTGATTCTGCATATGCAGGTTTCTTCTGTAATTGGAATGACACTCAGGTGGGATTTTCATCAGTTGGTTTTACTGGTGACTCACTCCTAGAGTAAGTCTTTCTAGGCAGGTGATTAGTGTATAGGGAAATGTCTGTTCTGTTCCAATGGGTGCATATGGATCCTGGTGATTCTTCCAAGCGTATTCGCAGGGAGACTGTATTTTGGTTTTTTTGACTGTTCTTGTCTCTGCTTCCCTTGTGTTACTCACAGAGTTGGAGTGAGTGTGTTAGCTGATTTGCACTGACCTTAAGAGGCATTTAAGGCAATTTGGCTACAGCTGGGGAGGCACCAGGTGAGTACATGGCTTCCTAATCTAGTTTTGAACATTCTTGCCAGCAATTGAGTTGTAAGCACCCAGAACAAGGGTCTTTGGTTATACAATGGTATCATCTTCAGGCCTTTATGATTTAAAAAAGAAAAGAAAATGTTTCAGTACAGAATAAAATAACCTGACTAAACTTCGGAAACTTTTTCTAATACAGTTTGAGTTTGTCATATGTAGAAGGGAGCAAAAGGAGGTTGCCGTGTGTCACTAAGGTATGTAATGTTTGCCTGTTGCATGTGGCTATTAGGAGGTCGCACAAAATATTTTATTGTAAGGCATTCAGAAAATTCTTCATTTGTGGGTATAGTAGATCTGTATATGTTCTCATAGTGTCAGGGTTCTGTTATTGCCATGCTCTTACCTCACCAGAGGCAAGGGTCAGCCTGAAATTTGACATTGTTGTTGCTTCCTGCAGGAAACAGTGAAAATACTGCATGCTTTTTGACAACCATCATGGAGAGAATGAACAGTGTAGCTGTTGATAGGCTTGAAACTTTGCCAGGAGGATGCTGTGACTTTTGTTCTCCTCTAATGCGTTTGTCTGTGCCTTTCCCTGTTCCAGGCCTAGATACTGCAGCAACTTAAAAGTTTTAGCTGTTTCGGGAAAGCACTAGTCCCAGTGTTAACCTGTCTTGCGTTACGTACATGTTCTTTCACTAGTGCCTGAGTGTGATTTAAGGAGTATTTATTTTGCTGCCTGGTTTTCTACAGTTGCTTCTCTTTTGTGCCTGTTATCAAAGCCGAGGCCAGGGGATACTTCTTAGTTAACAGAAAAAGCTAGAATCAGAGGCAGAGACTTTACAACTGACAGCATCTGTTAAATTCGCTCCTATCTGGCAACCCTCAAGACACTGCAGTTTGCACTTTTGAAGCTGTGGATGAAAATACATCTCTACGGTTTGCTCTCGATTATTACTTCATGTAGTTACCACAGCATTAGTGGTTTTACCTGCTACTAAAACCACAGCTGTGTTCCTAAACTACAGCATGGCAAAGATTAAGGGAAATCTATTTGTATTTCTACAGTAAGATCTATAGTTCAGATGTAAGAACCTCTCAAGAGCTGATGTGCTCATGGCAAATAGAAACTGAAAGAACGCTCTGATCATCTGGAGTTTAGTGGCAAACTGAAAATGCATTTCTTCCAAGTTTGTCAGTTCAGCTTAGTGTTGGTGACCCAGGCACAACTCAGAGGAGACGCCTTAGGGCAAGAAAGTAATCACAGCCAGTGATTTTCCAGACAACTTGAAGAAAGAAATATGAACATTGCAGTTTCAGCTTCTCAGATGACTTATTCTTTTTCTCCCCAGTAAGATGAATAAACTCTTCCTGAATTAATCTGGGTGACACTTCCTCCTTTTGTTTGCTGTAGATCTTTTAACTTCAGATCTGAAATAAAGCTCATTCTTCCAAGGGATATTCTTTGGACTACAGCTCTTAATCCATACTGCTCCTGTGCTGGTATTTGAAACTGTGACACCAAGAATAAAAAATGAAAGGGATGAGAGAAGTACAGCCTATATTGTGAGAATGAGTGCAAGCATGTTAGGAGCTTTTGTGATAAATGTCAGTTTACAGGAGGAGAAAGATGGTGAGTGATGTTAGTCAGGGAATACCTAATCTGTTTTAAAGCTTTACTTATTTTTCTGCGATGACCAGGAAGACAGATAAACACAGGGACTTGCGCTCAGTTCCTGACACTAGACCTGGAGTGGCTAAAGATTGACATAAGTGCTTAGTAAAGTCTAAGCTTAGCAAAACACTTACAGAAAGTGGTGCCTATTGACTATTTCAGTGGACCTCTTATGATGGAGAAGAGCACAGTTAACCTTTAGATCTTAATTTTAGTATGTGGCAATGGGTGAAGAACAGTCTTAATCCCATGCCAGTATAAAATTGTGGAAAATGGGAACGGTGCCTTATTGTAATAAAGCTTTTAACAGTAGCTTGCCAAAGGAAAAGAGAAACCAATTTGAAACTCGAAGTCTGTGTAACTGGCTTAGATGAGCTGTGTTATAGTCAAATAAAGGCTGGGGGGAAGCTTAACCCTGCCCAACCACCCTGTAATGACCTGATCAGTGGAGTAGGGAACAATCAAATTAAGGTAAATGCAGATGTAACTAAAAATAATTCTCCAAATATCTTGCAGTATGGATGATCTGTCACTTAGCTGTGGTTACGGTGGTTTCAAATACTCCTTTTTGTTTAGAGTAACCAAGTACATCTTTGACAATTACTTAAATGGCTACAGAAGGAATAATAACATAAAGTTTGAACTAGCGAGATGGTCTGGCTTTTGAGAACAAGAAAAATAGTCAGTTGACTGACTGAGACTAGTTGGGTATCAAGAACAAGTCTTTTCACTGGATTCCAGGGGCTTTGGCCTTTGTGCCAACATAAATATGGGTGTCTCTCTAATAGCAGAATTGCATTGGATTAGTTTGTGCTTTTTGGAAATTTATGATATGAAACATACAGTTCACTTTTATACTTCCCTGTTTAAAGAAAATAGGGAGTTAAATGTTGAACTGGGTGCTCCTTTTTCCTCTGGGTGTTTTGAAGAGAACTGAAGTCTCCTATTTCTAGAAAAAATTTTCTCGTGTTTGTAAGTTTGTCAGACACATAGCGTTCCAAAAGCTGAGCTGCGTTCACTAAAACACTTCAGATGACTGCAGGCCTGAGGAGAGGGTTGTAGCTATGTAGCCTTAATTTCAGCTGCTCTTAGGCAGTGCTGAAGTTCCTGTTGTTTGCATTTGAGTCCAGTAAACAATTTGCTTGTGCTGAAGGCAAGTGTGGAGAATACTGTCCCTTAGTGAGTGAAGAGGCACTATGCTAAGTGCCCTGCCTTTTTGATGGCTTTATCCTGCTGTCTTGTGCCCTTCTGAAGTTTTGCAAGGAAGCTAACTGTTCTACTGAAGGGAGTGGACAACCTTACTGTTCTGCTGAACACAAATTATGTCAAATACAGGGGAAGAGAGGATAGAGAAAGTAAATATTCAGACAGAGACATGATGCTACCTGTGTCCCTCTCTAAAATTCACATGAAAAATTGTTTTTTCTCATGTTGTCTTTCGTCTCTGTGATAATTAAATACACTCAACATGTTCTGACAAATCTGAAATGCCCTCTGGTACACATTCATGCAGTCGAAAACCTTTGCTTTTGAAATAAACTGTTCTGAATGTACATGTTGGTGACTTTTCTCAGATGTCTGACACCAGGTTGTCATCTTTAGTTACTTCTCTGTGCTCTATCCTTTGTTCCTTCTGTCTGTAGTGGGCCCAAATCTGTTTCTACTATGTCTACACAGCTCAGTGATTTTTGGGTGCACTTGTGTCCTTAGAGAATATGAGTGATTTCAGTGAAACAACAAAGGACAACAAGCATGAAACAGTTTGCAAAACTGTAATGATTATGGTTGTATATGTGCATATTAAAGTGCATTTCCTGCCAGGAAAAGTTCTTGTCACACAGGTTTTAGCACTGTGAGTTAAGTGTTCCCGTACTTAATTTTCCTTTTATGTTCGCTTTCAGATTACATGATGGAATTCACATTTTCTCAAGAAAGGCTACGTATCTTGGATCAGTACTGCTGAAGATACCTTCTGATTACAACAGCTGAAGCAGGGTCCTGTAACAAATTTGTCAAAAGAACACGTATAATGGATCTCAAAGAAAGCTGCCCAAGTGTTAGCATTCCCAGCTCTGATGAACACAGAGAGAAGAAGAAAAGATTTACTGTAAGTATGCAAGAGTGTAAACACAGTAGGCAAATGCCTAGGCTATTAGTGCCTAGAAGTGCTATTTTCTGGTTTTTACTAGTAGGCTTGGTATTATTTTCAACAGGTTTATGAAAATCTGTTCACTTGCTCTTGTGAGTACTGGCCATAGTCCAGTGTGAGAAGTTGTGAATGTTTTACAGTATTTAACTGTGGTATTTTCTGCAAAAAGAATTTGGCTCTACAAATCTCTGGTATTTTTACCCCCAAATAGCGGCATTTTCTCATATAAAATCCGTGAGTATCCAAGTGCAGGGATAACATTTTGGTACCAAATCAGAATAAGATTTGGTATCCTGCATGATTTTTCATGGAAACATTTATTGTGTAAAGGAATAAAATGTGTTTGGTTGGGTTTGTTTGTCTGTTTGTGGTTTGGATTTTTTTTTTTTGAATGGCCTTTTTTGATAGATATCCTCTTATTTATATTTTTTTGTGTAAAAGAAAAAAAAATCAAATTTTTGAAAGACTTTTTTTGTCTTCCTTCCTGTTTTCTGATTCTAATGCCTATGATTTTTTTCCTATCCTGTTCCCATTTCCACTCCTTGTCATTCCCCTCCCTCTTCCTTTTTTGGCCTCCCAATTTGGCTTGCTTTCTGGAAGTAAAGTCTTCCTATTCTGTGGGGAAACTCTTTGCATTGCATACTGAAAAATAAAGTAGTGTAGCATGGATTTTTGTTTTGCTTATACTTATGCTAGGCTATACAGAAAGCATCATAATACTTCCTTTAAAAAGCTCAAACTATTTCATTGCTCTTGTGCAACTTCCTCTAGGCTTTTTCTCTTTTTGTTTTTTTGTTGTTTTTTTTTTTTTTGAGTGGATTAGTCACTCTTCAGATGTGGAATGCAAACACCCTTAGACAAAGTTGTTGTCTGAAGAACATAGTAAAACAAAAGTTTACTTTGAGTTATTATATATCTGCCTTTTCTCTTCACCTCCCTTCCTCGGAGAAAAATAATGCTGTTTGATTCTACAAGTTTATCAAGATGTAATTTGGGGAAGGAGTGTGCTGGTAGAAGGACCAAGCGGAAGAGAACTTTACTGATAGTTTAAAGTGCTGCATGCATGTGAAACTCAAACAAGCAGGAAAAACTTCATGAAAGTCTGAATTTGAGCAAAACAGATTTGTTTTACTGCCTCAGTGCTGGCAGTTCTGCTGTTAAAATGTGCCAGTGTGGTACGTCTGTGATTTCCATGTCATTTTACCTAAGGATCTGTGTGACAGCAACTTAAAGGCACTTTCTTTGGCCACGCCCTTTAGGAAGCTGTACAAGCAAGAGTAGGAAACTTCAGAAATTGGGAATTGAGGAGGGGGAAAAGGAATCCAACCCAGCTTGCACTGTGTGGAGGTATACTTTGTCTTGGTGGCTTCTGCTTTCTGCATCAGGGAATAATTAGCAGCTTGACGAGAACTGCTTTTCACAACCAAGCTTTTGAGTATTATCACATATATTTTAGGATTTGATAACAGAAGTGAGGGTCATGATAAACTTCATGGTAGCAACTGTGAATTCCAGCACGTGTCTGTCAGTGCTTTTACTGTGTCTCCTCTTCTGTAGCTGTGTTGTAATGACTGGAGCCTGTCAGTACTACTTTTGGTGGGGAGTGAGAGGAGGGCGCGAGGGGGAATATTTGAAATTGATGGTAGATACAGCTGTCTGTTTCTGATGGCAATGTTAGTGCCATTTCCATAAAGAGCAGTTAGAACAGTAGGGTGAAAGGAAAGGTTAAAGTGATGAAGGCTAGGAAGGACTGCAGGTGACTGTTTTGTATAATCTTCACCTTAACTGTCGCTTACAGTATATATCACTACTGCTTCTGAGACTATTCTAGAATCTTACTGGTCTGAATAGAAACTATGAATTCCAGCTCAAACCTTACAGTGGCTCACTTAATGCTGGCATGGAAACAAGACAAGTATGTGCAACTTAGCTTTTACTAACTCTTCTTTTCCCCCCTCACACTTGCCCTGATGAAGCATTTTTAAAAACAATCATGTGTCTGTGTGGTCCTCATTCTAATGAGTAAGTCAAGCTTTACTGTTTTGTCTTTGGAAATGAACTCTTCATTCCTCCTGAGCATTTTCATAGCTTTTTATTGAATACTTGATTCATTTTTGTTAAATACTGCATACATTTTATGTATTCACTACCAATATTTTTTTATTGACAAATAATTTCATATTTTAATTTTCCTGGTGTTCTGACAGGGAAGCTTTTTTGCTTCCACTTAATTCATGGTAACTGACCTGTATGTGTATCTGCTCCAGTTCACTGTCCTACCTTCTTCTGAAGATTCAGCATTCACTTCCTTCATAAAAAGATCAAAATACAGTCCAAAACAATCAAGTATCTAGGCTATGTTCATTGCTATTTTGTCCTTGCTGTATCGTGGGCCATTCTTTTGCCTGTTTTGCCAAATGGCTTTGTTATGGATTTCTCACTTTTATCCCTATGCTGTTCGATGTCTGAGGCCTCATTTTCTCTTCTGACCTATTCTTGTCTCCTTTCATGACCCCGTCATGTATAGGCTTATTAAGAAATCTCTTTCAAGGGTGCTGTTTGTCTGATTAAATCTGGAAGCTTTGTCTCAGATCTGTGGTGTATAATACTAATCCCCAGCCCTGTGGAAATTGTGGAGTTGTTTTTTTTAATTTTGTTGACACTTAATAAATATTTTCCTTACTTCCTCAAGGCTTGCTCTCTTGAAATTGGAAAACAGCCTTTTTACTCATATTTGTTGAACACAAATTGAGTATTCAATGCAGAAGCATGAGCTACCAAAACAGAGTTGAAGCTTTTTAATTTCAGTGACTTCTTTTATGAAGGAGTCTATCACATCCAGAAATAGCTGGACTCTATCCTGTCTGTATCTGGGAAGAGAGTTTATGGTGATGATAGTAGTGGTGATGTTTTCAGGAACTCTGTTTCTTTTTCTTTTTGCTTTCTTAAAGCATTGCATTATTTATCCACATATTACAAGTCATGGATGCATCTTTTAGGAGTTTTCTAAGACTAGTTTTGGCTTACGAGTAATTAGATTTGAAAAGGTTATTATTTAAGTAAGGCTAGATTTCTCCTCCCCCACACCTTTCTAGAAACAGGCTTTGCAGCTCTCTCTAAATCATTGCATAGGTGTAGCTGAGAGTAGTAATACAGCCCAAAGACACGTTACGGGTTTGGGTTTTACCAAATAGTTTGTAGGTATCATATGTGTTCTTACCATTCAGTGCTTCCATAACTGTTGCACTTGCAGTTTCTCCTTTGTTGGGTATGCAAGAGCTTTGCTGATGGGTGAACTCATATGGTTTTTAATGTGCACTCATGTAAAAAGTGTTGACTGTGTCATTGTTCTACAGCTAGCTCCTTTGAGAACAAAACTGTTTTAATTTTGAGGTTGCCAAGGAGGTGAATATCATCTTGTATCCTAAGTTATGCTTGCCTGTGCACTTTGCAGTTTTGCCCTGCTAATTTAAGAAGTTGTCCGTGGCCTGCTGCTTAAGCTTGTTGGCATTGATCTGCCATGTAGTCATGGGGAGTGAAGATGTGTGTTTGAATATTACAGAATCACAGGATGGCCAGGGTTGGAAGGGACCTCTGGAGATCATCTAGTCCAACTTCCCTGACAGAACAGGGTCACCTACAGCAGGTTGCACAGGATGGCATCCAGGCAGGTTTTGAATGTCTCCAGTGGGAGACTACACCACCTCTCTGGGCAGCGTGTTCCGGTGCTCTGCCGCCTTCAAAGTAGAGAAGTTCTTCCTCATGTTTAGATGGAACTTCCTATGTTCAAGTTTGTGCCTGTTACCTCTTGTCCTGTCACTGGGCACCACTGAAAAAAGACTGTTCCCATCCTCCTGGCACCCTCTCTTGAAGTATTTATAAGCATTGATAAGATCCCCCCTCAGTCTTCTCTTCTCCAGACTAAAAAGACCCAAATGCCTCAGCCTTTCCTCATACGAAAGATACTCCAGTCCCCTAATCATCTTTGTAGCTCTAAGACTGACAATCTTTCTAGTTACTGGAGAACTCTGCTGCCATGGGATTTGAATGGCCAGAACTGTGCATCAGGTTCCAGCTGAACCTCCCTTGATCCCAGTGCTGTATATTGTGTAGCCTGTGCTGTATTTCAGCCACTGCAGCATTTTTTCCCCCCTTGAACAATTGTGTCTAAGTCCCCAGCGATCTGCCAGGATCCTGGCTATAATATGTATTCAAGATGTTGCAAGGAACAGTTTTCTTTATAACTGCCTTCCATATGTGCTTGCTTTTTAGGTTTTGGTGAAGGCAATCTTCAGTCTTTAAATGCTTTACTTCCTTAATATTAGTCTTTATTATGTATTATCAAGTTGTTAACAAATTTCATAGCAAATATTTATAGACTGCTATCTGATGGCCAGGAGTTCTTGTTGGATATGAAGTAATTTATGAAACTCCATTAAATTGGATTTGGTGTTAGTTTTTGCTTACCTGATGTTTAAAAAAAAAAAAAAATCCTGTAAAATACCAGACTCTTTTTTTAATTGTTCTTTTAATCATGTGTTGATGTCTATGTTACTTAGCTGTAAGAAATATATAGCTCAACCAGTATGTTTACACAATACATTTAACAACCTGCCCTCATTTCCACCACAGGATTAAACCTGGGAGGTTTTTATTAAGCTTTGCTGTTGGCAATAACTTTATCTCTGTTACTACAGGTTTACAAAGTGTTGGTCTCTGTTGGCAGAAATGAATGGTTTGTCTTCAGACGGTATGCAGAGTTTGATAAACTCTACAATACGGTAAGGAAAAGGCAAGCTATGAAGTCACACCAGAATAGCAGAGAGTAACGCTTGTTTGCAGTGTTAATGGTTTGAGTTAATTCCCTCAATGTTGAGTTTGACTCGGCATGCAGTAACCATAGGAGCCTGTTTAAAGAAAATGACAGGGTGTTTTTTTAAAACTTTGGGGTTTTTTGCATTTCAAACTTAAAATCCACTTATTTGTCACTTTTTAAATTTTTGCTTGGGATCATAATGTAAGGAGAGAGACTTCCAATTTACTGGTTGTCAGAACATCTGAAACGTGCATTTGTTTGTGATGGTAAAAATCACTGGAAAACTTAAAACATCTAGATAGATAAATTTCTCTTAAAATAAGTGTTTTACTTTGAAGTACTGAAAGCAATGAACAAATCCTTGTTTCTTAATCTAAACCTCTTGGTAAATCAGTCATGGCAATTCCTACCTGCAGTTTCATGGCTGAATTTTGTGGTAGTGGTCCAAATAAAATACACCTCTTCAGCAACTAAGTATGGATGTCTTGGGTTCGTTGCTAGAAGAGGATTTTGCCCCTTTTACGTAGTGGGTAAGTGGGGCAAATACTTGCTCAGATGCGCAGTCTTTTATGTGCCTGATGTCCATACTTTTCTCCAGCTCTTCATGTTTAGACCCACAATTTTTGCTTTAACAAAAAGGAGAAATAATTCCCCTGTGATCCCCATAAGAAAAGATTACCAGCTGCTTATCTGTGCCTCCATCGCCTCTATGGGAAGTAGTCAGGCTTTTCTGCCTTTTCCCTCACTGCATGTGGATTTGTGTGTGGCAGTGGTATACAAATGCAGGCAGTGAGCTTGGAGCTGCCTTACAAGGTCTGAGCTGAAGTCAGCCTGGGTATACCACACTATGCTTTGCCTGTATCTTGGGATAGACTTGCAACCAATGTGAAAAAACAAAGCATCCCTCTTCTCTTCTTCTCTTCTTCTTCCCTTATACCTGTAGAGTGAATGTTCCCTTTGCCACATTCTCTTGCCAAGCAGGTTAGCATTGCTCTGCTGAAATTTGTTCACCACTGGTCTTTCTAATGCACGGAGAGGTGGAGGTCCTGGGAAAGTGTAAGCAGGAGGGCATTTAGTCCCGTTTCTATTTGGTGTAATTCATATAGTATAGTACATCAAAAAGAACTTGTGTTGCTAACTGGAAAAGATACTGATGTTTCTAAGGAAAGAAGAATTGCTAGTATTAGAAAATTATTCTCTTAAAGAGGATGAGAGTAAGATTGCTACTCTGGAGTGCTTGCAGAAGCAAATGTAATCAAGGCTTGGCTCGTGATTTTATTTTTGGTAAATTTAGTGCTTTGGTATACGACATTCTGGTCAGTTTATCAAGTGTAGACTATAATCAAATTATCAAATGCAGCATTGTAAAACAGGCTGTTCATCTATTTACAATTTTGACTTAGGGGTAGACCACCTGTGGTTTCTAAAGCTTTTAAGAGTGTTGTTTGAGCAAAACCCAGAGGCTTGTATCACCAACCTATCTTACACCTTGCACATACACTTCTGTGCAAGCAAGAAAAAAACAAACCCGAGAGAGAGAATTGATGGAGGAAGGAAGTAAAGAGGAGAATAAAACCAACATTGACATTCTAGCCTACGTTTTTTAATTTGGGGCAAGTGGAAAATCATTTTGACAATATTGTAGAAGATAGCTGCAATAGTCTGTAGCTTTCTAAAGTGAGATGGCATTTGAATTTAAAAGGGTGTGACTGGTGCAAACAAGCTGAGTACAGATTGTTTTGGGCTTGTTTTTTTCCCCAAGTGTATGAGTAGAGAAGGTGGCAGAGAGAAGCAGAATTACTAATAATCAGATGTTCAACCTGTTCTTTGGAAAATAAGCGAAATGCAATTATTTCTAGGTACTTTGATGTCTAAGCACAATCCAATTGTATGTGTTTTGTTTTCAGCTAAAGAAGCAATTTCCCACCATGAACCTGAAGATTCCAGCTAAAAGAATATTTGGAGATAATTTTGATCCTGGTAAGTTGTTATCTTGTTACTCATTTTGTCAGTTTCTTTATATGAAAATTGATCTATTTCAGCCCACAAGAAGCTATCTTAGATGAGTTTCACACCAGTCCTCAAAACAGTGACTAAACCAAAGTTTAGTCATGCTTCAGTCAAGAACAGGAACTAGCGTAGGTAGCTATTCTGCCTTGTGATTGTGAGCAAAGTGTTGCTTAGTGGCCCAGTGCCTCTCTTGTGCTGAAGGCTGTAAGTCTTCCCTACCCTCTGATATTCAGGATTATGAGAGATCCTGAACTGTCAGGTGTAGTCTCACTTCTGTAAAAGCAAAACTCAAAACCCAGACTTCTAAACCTATGCCTAATAAATTTTAAACTTCCTTTGTGTGACTTCTCCCCCCCCAAGATGAAATAACTGAAGGGTTTATCTTGGAATGCTTTTGAACTCTCTGTATGTAAATGTGCTTCCTTGTACAGTTCAGATGAAAATGAACCTCTTCCTGTTGTTGTTCCAATGAGAGAAGCCTGTTTGATGTGAACGTGATGTGATCCAGTTAGCAGTGATAGGTCCCAATTAAGCTTGATGTGTTCACATCAAAATACTAATGAAAAATCACTTGTAAAGTGCATTGAATTAACCTAGGTGGCACACCGATGAATAAATAAAAAGGCAAGTGGGAAGGCCAGGCTTTTGCTCTGTGTGTTTATACCCTTCATTCAGGCCATTTTTAATTCGGGGTTTTCCTGGTGGTCATTGGGAACCTCCCAGTCCTCCCCTGGCTTGCTGATGTGATCAGGCTCTTTGTAGTTTCACCTCCTCCTGCACCTGTTTCAAGCATTTCATTTTCTCCTTTGCTGAAAAACAAATGAATCCAAAGGTGTTGAACTCCTGGGGTGTGTTGTTCTGGGTTTTTTAGTTCTTTCAAACAAATTAATTTTTGGCGGTTACAGTTACTCATCTGGATCCTGACATGAAACTCCCTTTTATTTTTTATTAAAATAATCAAATGCAAGTATCTACGCTCTGTTCTCTTATGATGAAGATGTAAATGATTGCCACAAGTTGTATGTATATTGTGTCTACAGGGACTTCTCGTTTTGTTTTGGTGTCTTTCCTTTTCTCTGACCGTGGAGTTTTCAGAACTGGCTGAAGACCTAGTAATGTCATGCATTCTGGTCTGCTGTACAGCCAAATGTACAGGTGGATTTCTTGCAGTCAAATTCAGGAAACTGGAGTTTAAATAGAAAAAAACCCCCAACCTAAAACTTTATTAAAACTATATATGTAAAATAAAGTCCTCAGACTTGTTTTAAGTTTCCATAAACTATGCTGAAATCCTTGAAGCATGAGAAATTAAATAGTTCTCAAGATGTTTCTTGCTGGGGGGCAGGGTGGAGATGGAGCCATGATGCTCATTTAAATAATTCTTTATCTTAACACTGATTTATTGAAGCTTTGATGTAATGTTTCTACTGGCTTCTGAAATGTGTCATATTTTACAAATGTTTAAAAGGTATTTTACTTCTGTTGATCCATGCTTGGGTATGCAGCATTGTACTGTTAAATTGGAGAGCAGTAGAGTGAAACTTGTATATCCCTTTTCCCAAAATCTACCAAAAATACTGTCATAACATACACTGTAATCTAAATGCTTTGTATTTATTGTCACCTGGTAATTTAAAAATTAATCTTGTTTTAACTGTGAAAATGGGGCAAAGGGAAATCCTAGAAACCAGTCAGAATACAGAGCTAGAAAATTACAGAGTACATCTGAGCTGAGATGATGCAGGTGTTTTATCTTCAACAACGTGGATAACTCTAGGCTTGGAGTGGCTGATAGCATTGTACATCCACCATACTGAAACTGCTGATGTTGGTGACTCCTGTAACATCTTTATGCAAATTTACCTTCCTGTTTGATGTCAGTAATTTGGGATTATTAAATACCCTAACAAGGGTTTAGGGGTTATATCCTTGAAACAATATGAACACTTTTTAAATATTTAAAACACAGCTTTTAATTTAAATTTATTTTTAATTTAAAATTTTAATAGTTGTCAGTAATTTATGTGATAGATTCATTGGAATACCTTGAAAATTAATACATGAGTTGAATGTTCTTTTTCCAATCAAATTATTGTTGATATGAGTAATAATAGACAAGATTATTCTGTTTTACACTTTATTTCATGTTAGAGCTTACTCTCTATTTCAGATCCCTTGTGTATCTTTCCATACTGCTAAAGAAGAGTTAATCTATGGATGAGGGTGGAGTTTCTAAGGATTTTTTAATTTTTTTTATGTTAGAGATGATGTCCAAAACAGAAAGAAAACTTTTTTTTTTTAAGTTATCTTCAATGGTTACATCTGAGTGCCTGCTGGCAGGATGAATTGTGCAACTTTCTCACTGCCATACATATATTATTGAAATATGCTGCTTGGTGGGACTGTTCGTGTAAAAACTTGACTTGAGCAACTGATGTCAAGTTTTGCCTGTGTCTTTTTTGGTTGGTGGTTTTTTGGGTTGGGTTTTTTGTTTTTTTTTTTGAGCACAATCATGTCCTGAAGGGTTCCCCCATGCAACGAAGGCTGCACAGGTTAGCCCACTGTGGTTACACGCTGTTCTTGAAGCACTTCAGTGCACTTTTAATCCACCTGGCTTTCTACATTTTCAAGTAGTGTTGCAGAGAAACTGAAATTTGTTCTCTCGCTTCACTTGGATGTTTTAAACTCATGACTTTCATGTGTAGGATCCTGTTCTGAACTAGTTGTGAACCAATCTCTTTTTAACTGCTGTTTAAATCCTAAAAAACCTAAATTTGAAAACAAGTCTTTTCGCAAGCTGACTAATCATCCTAATAAATTTATCTCTCTTTTTTTTTTTTTTTAGATTTTATTAAACAAAGAAGAGCAGGACTGAATGAATTCATTCAAAATTTAGTTAGACAGCCAGAGCTATGCAACCAGTAAGTAGTTTCATTTCTATTTATAAGGACTATTTAAAAGACATGAGATGCCAAATACAAAATTGCAAATTTAAATACTTTTAACCAGAAAATGTATTTTACCTGTTCAGTGCTCTGAAGTAAAATGAATAAATTTTAGTATGTCTGTTCATTCCTTCAGGAAAAATCTGCAGACTGATGAATGGTATTAAAATGTCTTTGTTTTCTGAAAACTGATCTACAAATAAACTTGCAGACAATTAAATGATCTTAATTCAAGGGGTACATATTCCAGTGTAAATTCTCTTGCTGTAGGACAGGTGTATGTTTTGCCGATGGCTTTACTGTTTGGGAGCTCTGCTGTCACTGCATTGCTGGGAGTAAGTCACTGCCTGCATCCTTCTGTTAGAGCAGTTCATGTGTGTACTCCAGAACTTGTTTTAAGTATGTTAACCAAGTAGGTTAATCAGCTGGCTTACGTGGTTTGGGAGATAACCAAGCTGACCTGCCTAAAGCAAATGAGTAAGCTTTACATAAACTGCTCTGTCAGAAGATCTGCAGGTGTGCTAACTTCCATCAGTGGGACAGTGATGAATGAGAGATGGTGATATGCTACAGTCAGCTCTGGTTAAATCTGGAGGACTGTGTGTGCACTGATTTGGGGGGTAAACTGCATTTTTCTTTCAGTTTAAATCTACCTAATCAGTTTAAATGAAATCCATGCAGCTTTCTATGTTGCTTGAACTAGTAAAATGATAAAGGTCTATGTTTGGCATTAGTGTTGAGTAAATTTCTTTAATACATGTGCTTTGTTTAATTAGCCTATCTGTAAAATGTGTAAAACTGCCCATTTCCCATGGGGTGGGGTGGGGGGACGGGACACACCAAAACCAACCTCTAGAATATTGTTGCAGTTTGCAGCTTGCAGTCAGATGCTTCCCCCCCGCCAACCAGTGAACTATTTAATGTCCTATTAACCTGAAATATGTACTTCCTTTCTTTTTTCTTTTTTTTTTTTTTGGAAAAAAGCATTTTTTTATATACTTCCTTGTGATAAATGGGGAAAAAAAGTTTTGGAAAAAATCTTTACAGTGGAATAGTTTTCTACTAGAACAGATACTGTGAGCTTTGTGGTCATAGTAGTATTCTTCTCTGGGAAAGAATAGAAAGCACTTTAGCTTTCAACAATTAGTTGTTTTAATCTGTTACGTTACATTAGGAAAGGATGCTGGTTTTATTTAGCACAATCCCTTCCCCTTGTCAGTATGTCCACGTACCAAATATTTGGTCTTAAAACATGCTATATTTGTTCTCCAAAGGTAAAATGGTGTTTTTCTTTCTTTTATGCACATCAATAAAAATTGTGCTTGAAAAAAAAAAAAAGCACCAAACCTCAGATCCACTTGCTGCCTTATTTTTTGTGAGCTTTTAGAATTGTTTTAAGCTCAAACGCATCTGTAGCTGAATGTATGTTCTTTAACATGGCACTTAGCCTGTCTGACCCATTAAAACTAACTTAAACCAGTATTAAGAAATACGTCCTGTAAAGTGTTTCTGTGCTGTTGAAAGCATGTTAAATAAAAAGCTTATTAGGCATAGTTCTACAATAAAATAGAGACTGAAGTTTGTCTTTTGCTGTTTTCCTCCCCACCCTTAAAGTAACAGTGATTTATGTGGGAGAAAAAGCAAGCCTTTTCATTCTCAATTCAGTGGAAAAGCATTTAATTTTATAGTAATTTCTGTGGGTTTTTTTCTTTTAATAACTGCATGGTACTCTGTTTTTCTGGAGTGAGCTTTTACTTTTTCAGTGCTCCATTGCAAAAAAAAAAAAAATCATACTAATAATTATATAATCTGTCGTCTTATCTATGTGCCAATGAAAGTTATTAGTGAAGAAATATCAAAACTTTGAGCCTGGTGGTTTTGGTTGGTTGGTTGTTGGTTTTTTTTAATCTGCTAGAAACCACTCAAGAAGTATGTGATGACTGAGCCTTCACAGACAGTCCGTGTCCTTGCTTTCTTAGACTGTTTTGCTTTAATTTGCTAATTCAAATTGTTATTAGGTAAAATACCTTATGTAAAGTTAGTCATGTACGAGGAAGACTTAAGGAGTAAAGCATTCTCACAGAACTGTAAGGAAGTCCACTTTCCACTACATCTTTTAAGCATTAAAATCAGTATCAGGGTGTCACATTTTTAAGTCCTACCTAGGAAAACTGTTTCGCTGGAAGCTTAAGAATGGTTCATGATGATGTCCTCATTTCTGGATGGGAAGGCAGCTGAACATCTGAATTGAAAAGCACAAATGTCAGAGTCGGTGTGTCCAAGATTGTAGTATTTATATTATTCTCTGAAACATGCAGAACTGTTTCTTTTTCCTTTTTTCCCTCTCTCAGTGGACTTTGTTCTTGGGTCTGACATGTTTGTCGAATATTGTATCAAAGCCAAACCTGTCTGCTCAATAATAAACCCAATCAAAACCTAAAGTGTGCTCAAGTGATCAGAGAGACCCTGTTGATAAGGATTTTCCTGTAATCGCTGTCAGGTGGAATACGTTGCAAGATAGATCATGGGCTTAGACTGAACTGGGAATTAAGTGGACTAGCTTCAAGCTTCATTTACTCAGCTAACTTGCTCTCATGGGTAGAATGCAGATGTTGGGGGGGTGGGGGGAAATATCAGAAGGGACAGGGATGTGATAATGCGTCCCCCTTGCTGACTGATGTCCTGAATAGGAGCTGGGAGTTTGTTACTTACGAGTGCTGTGAGGCCGCTTAAGTCACTGAGCAACTATTCAAATTGGGCTGCTTGCCCCCTTAAATGTAGGTCTTCACTGAAAAATTAATTCATTTAATTGTCTATCAGAACATGTCCAAAAAATCTGTTGAAATCCAAATGTATAATAGAGCATGCATTAAAGATATAACACAGTTATTTTTAAATAGTTCAAAGTAGGTCCTTAATGAAAATGAGAACATTTGCATAACACTTGAAGAGCTCAAGGATGACAATACCCTGAAATCTCTGTGGGGAAATGAATTATCAGTTCTTTGAGTGAGAAGTGGGGGTCTCCATTTGTTCCCTAGAAAAAAAACAGTGACTAGATTTTTGTAGTTTCAAATCTGATGAATATAAAAATGAATGTGAAACCCCTGGATTGTAAGATTTTGCAGTCTGTGTTGGGGAAAGCAAGCCTTGCATTACATTAGTTGTACTTTCTTAAAATGTTACTGTACATTATGACTTTTTGAGCCTTTGCTTTCTGTAAGAGAACGAGCAGTGTTCTTTTTTTTTTTTTTTAAGTGTGTGAAGATGAGGGGGGAGCTGGGCACCATTATTTAAATAAAGTGTCTTAAACATTAAGGTTCTGTCACTGGCAATTAACTTTACCATTTTCCATCACAATTTGTGTGACTTTTTGGGCTTGTTCATATTTCTGGGTGTGTTTAAAAATTTTTGTGTGGCTTCATGTGTTCCTGCAGGAAGTATAGTGCAGAACAAGTGTCACAGAAAGAATGGTATTTAGGTGGAGCTTGACACCCCCTTCGTGGATTTCAGCGATAATCCATAAACTAAATTAATCCACTCAATCATAAAAATCCAGACAAACCAAACTTTTGCTGGTAGTAGACGTAAAATGTATATCAAGCATGCCTTTGTAAACTGTTTTCTTGATCTTTTTAATTTCATGTGAGATTACTTTAGGAGTAGTTTCAGTGTATTTTAAAATACATTGAGTTAATACACGTGAGCTAATACAGCACAGAAGTCCTGCCAATCTCTATAGCATTTTGCATAACATGCTGCAATCTTGACTAAGAAATTGGTACATTAAAATTGTTATTTTTTTTAATCACTACTTTCTTGTACTGTGTTTAAAATTACAAATGTGAACATTGTAACATTGCTCAGTTACGCTTCTGGCTGCCATGTATTGTGGAGACTGTTGAATACCTTGCAACCGTGCAGCAGCCCTTTACTGGGAAGAGATTTTTTTAATTTTATTTTTTTCCTGCTGTGAATTCAGTCATGGCCAAAGTTACTGTAGTAACTATTTGAGAGGTATTACAACATGCTCTATTTAATCAGCCAGTTGTCCGGAATAATTAATGCTGAAAGGTAATCAAGGTCTGATTCTGTTGTTCTGACTAGTGAAAAGCATTAACCATAACTTTTTATTCTTGATTTTATGATATCCAAATATTCCGAAACTTAAACTGTTGCATTACGAGCCAATATTACTACAATATTTAAACCACGGTGATTTTTGTCTTCCTGGGACTCGGGATACAAGACAGGACATGGGGTAATGGTTTGAATGGAAGCAAGAAATTCTTTGCAGTGAGGGTGGTGCAACACTGGCACAGGTTGCCCACAGAGGTGGTAGATTGCCCGTCGCTGGAAACATTCAAGGTCAGGGTGGATGGGGCTCTGAGCAACCTGATGGAGTTGAAGACGTCCCTGCTTATCGCAGGGGGGTTGGACTAGATGACCTTTAAAGATCCCTTCCAACCCAAACTATTCTGTGATTCTTTTGAGCTTACTGTGGGGTAAGCCTCGCTTCCTGGGAGTGGGTTCTCATAATTCTCTTACTTTCTTTCCCTTCTCCCAGTCCTTCTCCCACAGCCCCCACCAAGACAGAAGCTAGAAACCAATGCTGAAGTTAAAATGCATCTCCTTAGGTACTGTGGGAAGCCTGTAGTCTCTCTTGCTGGTTCCTGAAGGATAGCATTTGTCCTGCAGCTGACCAGAAGGATTTCCTACGTTGTCTTGTCAGTGCCCAGCTAGAATGCACTCTGAATAAAATAAATAAATAAATAAATCACCATCTTCTACTTTAAAGCATATGGGAACAGGAACGTTACTACCATGTACCTCTTGGGACATGCATCTCTCTTTGGGATACAGACTGTGTATTTTCATTCTGTATTGTGTTGGACTATTTCACTAATTTTGGAAAACTAAAAATGGCTTTAAACTCTTCAGTCTTTTGAAGGAAGGTTGATTTCCTGGTGGTTGCTAGCCAGTTAGAACTCATGCTTTAGATAGTGTTCTTTCTTCTAATAATTACCTTCTAATGTAGTTCTGCAGAGCATTTCCTTATGAAGTTTTCACATACATATACTTTAACGTGTCAGTTTTTTTGCAAGTGGCAAATTTTGTGTACTGTAAGTGACACATTCAGCAGTTGAATTATGTTGCTATAAAAGCATTTCTTGTACACAGTCCTTAATTACGAGAACTTAAATATAAAACTTTGTGGTGAGTAACTCCTCTGTATGCTGCTGTTTAATGCTATGCTTCCTATGGTTATGGCTGATAATCATGCAGATTATCGGTGTGCTAATGAAGCTAACTGTGTTTCTAGCCCAGATGTCAGAGCATTTCTTCAGATGGATAACCCAAAACACCAGTCGGATCCATCTGAAGATGAAGATGAAAGGAGCAGTCGGAAGGTAATAAAACAGGAGAAGAGCCTTCTAAATTTTAGCTACTTGAGGGCAATCTTAGGTATATTATTTATTGAAAATTACTGGTTGGTTTTGCAATAAATCCCCTCTGTGCTCTTTTAAATAAATGTGTTCTGCTGTGGGCTGTAAGATATTTTTCTCTCAGATGTGAACTGCAGAGAGGGGTAAAAGTGATTGCTAGCCTTGTCTTGCTTCTTCCCCACTTGCTATATGAATTAAAGAAACACAGCTTTAGTCATAGCTTAGCTGTCAGTTTTTGCAATCTCTTCAAAGATTCTTGCTAAGAACATCTGGCAAGGAGCAGGGGAGATTGAATGATTAATTGTCTTTTTGTTTGCTTATGTGTTGTTTTTTTTAAATAGGGGGAGAAATATTCACAGGGAAAAATGCGGTCTTTCTAAAAGTCGTTCAGGAACAAGGATGGATTTTATTTCATTTCACATATAACACTGTGTGGTCTGAAGCTTCTTTTGTCACAAAAGCCACTACATAGCTAGATGGATTCTCTGAAAATTAATTTACAGCCTCCAGAAACAGTGCTGTTTGAAAAATGGAGTATTTCTAGGAAGGCAGAAGTGCCATATTTAAGCTTGTTTTCAATGCGGCTTACTTCTTGGCATACAAATGTGACCTTAGTACTTTTCTTCTTATTCAACCCCTGTTAAAGATGTAACAGTTGTCATTTTCATTTGTACGTCATCCAGAGCAGATTTGGTGTTTTCTGCAAGTTTCACTTCCAGAGATGCCAGTCTTTGCTGCTTTTTTTTTTTTGAGGTTCTTGACAGCACAGTGAGCATGCAGCAAAGTTCTAATTTAAAATAGGAGTTTCCTCCTCCTTTGAAAGGTATTTTAAGTAATGTGGAGTGATCTAAACTTTCTGTGTAAAATAAATGATGTGTCCAATCCACAACAAATTGCAAAATGGGAAGAGAGCTAATGCATAGTGGCCTGGACCATACTTCTTGATAGTAAATTCACTTTCTCATAGTTACTGTGTAAGCGATGAAGCTGAAGAATAAGGAACAAAAATAAGCCCTTAAAAAAAGAAAAATCTTGAAACTTACATAGTAGCTTTTTTTTAAAACTGTCCAGTACCAATGTGTGATTGGCTCTTTTTAGTGAATAGTAGCATCCAGCACTGCTGTCAGGGAGCTCTCTGCTTCTATAGGAGTACTGGGTTTGTGATGCCTGCTAGCCTGTCCCCAGGTAACATATTTGAATGCATTTTATCCTTCTCTGATAATGTCCAAAATGTGTGTTTGTTTTTAATCAAAAACAAAATGGAGAAAAATACTTAAATTATAGTGGCTTCCTTGTCTCCCTCCCTGTAATTTACAAATTCTGTCTGGGTGTGTACTCGTAGGATTCATGTAATTCCTGGAATTGAGTTAGTTAACCTTTAATGTCAGGATAGAAAAGGTTGGTAATGTTTTTCTTGGGGTGGGGAGAATATTCACTTTTTTTTTTTTTAAAGCACTGTGTCTTTCACTAATTACTCTTGGATAAACAGTTTGGGTTTAAAATTACTTTATTGGTAACATACTGGAAAATCTATGATGAAAGGTAAAACGTACATTCCTAGAGCAAATACAGAAAGGGTTAAGTTCTGGATAAAGAACAAGTTGTTTGTTGAAACACTCTTAAATCTTTTTTCCTAATCTTGTCCTCTGTGTCTGGACGCAATTATTTTATTACTTTCATCCTTGAATATGTTGTATGTAGAAATAATTTGCGACAAGGTGATGATGGCCAGATATTTTAGCTTATGAAGTTCCCAATCTGGATGTTAGATCTCTTTAAAAATCTATTGTAACAAGCGTGAAGGGTATGGATTGAGCAAATTAGTAGAGTATTTTGAAGTTAATACTGGTTCAAATAGAAGGGAGAGTTAAAAAAAAATAAATAATAATCATTAAACATAAACCTCTTTGTCTCTCCCAACAGTTAAACTCTACCTCACAGAATATCAACTTGGGACCATCTGGAAATCCTCAGTAGGTTTCAATTAAATTGAATTAAGATGTAATTCAATTTAATGCAAAATTTTTATTTTATTAAAATTTTATTAAAATTAATTTTAAAACCTGAAAAATTAGACTGAGTGTAATTGTTAATAGTATGAAGAGTTCTTTGGATATATGCCTTTATTTGTTGATTTGCAGTGCTCCAGAGGAAGCAAAACATTGAATCCTGTACTGCATAAACAACTACCTTTAAAACTTTTTTTTTTTCCTTTTCGCCTTCAGATTTTGTTAGTCTGCTATCCTTTTACGAAAGGATGCTATAGCAAAGATGACCTCTCTGTCTTGGGAGTGGTCACACAACTGTTAAGAATGTGAACAGTTTATGAAAACAAGTTTGGTTTAATGCATGGCAAAAGAGCATGTTGCCTTGTTGATACTACAAACCTAGTTACTGCAGTCCTAACTTGCTTTGCCATTTGGTGTCTTCTGTAGAGTTTCTTTTCTTGGTTATGTGTGAATCTGTGCTTTTCTCATCTAGATGACTGCTATTTTGGTTTTGATTTCCTCACAGATTTGTTCTGGGCTAACAGGAGGAAATGCTTAATAGATTGCAGTAAGAATGTAACTGTTGTTTTGGAATTTGCAAACATGGATAATTGTTTTGCTGACAAAAATATCTCTGCATTGTGTTTAAGAAAAAATGAGGGAATCCTGGGAAATAACTGAAAGGAGTGGTGATATGGGAAGTGGAAAAACTGAGGGCGAGTTCATATGTACACAGACAAAAAAGGAAGGCGTTAGGACCTCCCTCCTCGCTGCAATTGAAAAAGAGAGAGGAATGGATGGGGGGGAAGAATGGGTTAAGCAAATAGAGACTAGATAATGAACTTGGTCCTTACTTCCATCATGTAATCTTGAGAATCTCTGGAAATGAGAAATAAGCTCCAGGAAAAGCCATGGGGAAATGGGCACTTAAAAATGATAAGAAACTAAGACTATGAAGAATAAAAGAACAGTCTTGCTCCACCTTTATATCTTAAACTTACATCCTTTGAGTTTATTTTATTTTGTAACTGGAATGCTTTCCCTGGAGGAAAACGGAATTGCAAGTGAAGAGGAATCATTGTCTCCGAGGGAAGGTCTGTAGAAGTCTAGGTGTTGGGTAGAATGCAGAGTAAAGGAGTGTGCTAACAAACCGTTCTCGCATTACAACTCAAGTGCTACACTAAACTGCTGTATAGCTATAAAGCTTGTAATTTCTACCCAGATGACCTGTCTCTTTCCTAAATATCTTTCAGTGCTAAACCAACAGACTTTGATTTCCTGAAAGTTATTGGGAAAGGCAGCTTTGGCAAGGTGAGCTTTCTTATTACTGTGTCTTTTCCTGCTGCAAGGATGCTAGCTGGTGTCTTCTGTATAGTAACTGTTGCCTAGACTTGGCCAGAGGTTTTGGAAGTAGTATCAGTCTAGGGTGGTGTATAAACTGTTGTATTGGATCCGTATTGTTGCTTCTTTATAGCCCTGCCATTTTTTCCCTAGCGTGGCAGTTGTTGGCTGCCCCAGTCACTTGTTGGGAGCAACAAAAGAGAGCGTTTCCCTTTCTCTTTAAGAGCAATAGGGATCCTCTGTTTCCCTCAGAGAGGAAGGGAGGTACCCCTGTGCTTCTGCAGCAGCTGGAGTACAAATCATGTATTTCCTTTTGTTGGCATGGACTGTTTTGTCAAACCCCTAATGCTATGGAGCAGAGTGAGCAACAGTGGCTTAAATATTGATGTTCTACAAAGATGCAACTGATAATTGCTCTTGAAATCTTTGGTTTCGGGTTATTTTTGAAGTTTTTGTTTTCCATTAAGTTATCTTTAAAACTTAGAAAACCAGCTGAAACTGATCTTGACAGAGATTCAGCAGGTCCTGGAAAATAAATGTTATAATTCAGTCTTTCATGATATCGCTATCGTGATAGATTTTACTGAACTGCAAGCTCACTCTATTGGTCATTATATTGCTGATTGACTATATTAAAAGCAAAGAGAATTTATTGTGGAAAAAATAGTACAGATAGTTTCCAGTTATGCTGAAATTGTGAAAATATTACTAATAGAATGTGAACGGCAACAATTGCATTTCTTCTTTTGTTTTGAATTTCACAGGTCCTTCTTGCAAAACGAAAACTGGATGGGAAATACTATGCTGTCAAAGTGCTGCAGAAAAAAATTGTTCTTAATAGGAAAGAGGTGAAGAGAAACATTCTTTCTCCACCCACCTCCCTTCCCTTTTCCCTTAATTACAAAATCATTCCTGTTTACTTATTTATGTTTTACTTTCTTGCAGCAAAAACATATTATGGCTGAACGTAATGTGCTTTTGAAAAATGTGAAACATCCATTTTTGGTTGGATTACATTACTCATTCCAAACAACAGAAAAGCTTTACTTTGTCCTGGATTTTGTTAATGGAGGAGAGGTATGTGGTGGTTGTGTTTGGATTTGAGTGTCTCTATTTTTCTAATTCTAGGGGGAGAGGAATGAAATGATCCTTTACGATGGGTTGTGATCAGCATTCTCCCAATTTTGAAAATCCTATTATTATCTGCTGTTACTACAGACTTCTATAGCTATACAGACCCTGTTCCTTTTCTTATCAACAACTTCAATCCCAAATTTATTCATGGTTGTCACATACAAATAGTGTATTTTACAGTTACATAAACTTACCTTTACTTCAAATTAATCTTATGTTGGCACTTTTCCACCATGTAAAATTGTCTTTTCCTCTTGCATCTGCATTAGCTGAGATGCTAGTATTTTGAAAACGGAAAGAAGGAAACTAGTGAGTGAATTTACTATATTGATATTATTGGGAACCTTAGGATTATTCTGTAGCTTTGCGTGGTCTAATTACTTATTGCCAAATAGCCTTATCCTCGGGATTCTTTTCCTTGAAACGATGCTGTTGAATCTGAAGAGCCGTTAAGTAACTTGGGGGGGAACTTGTGAAAGAAACGGAGAAAGTCTGTATATGTTTAAATAAAATGTTGTGGAGCAGTTTGTCTTCAGCTAGGGACCTGTTTTTCAAAATACCCGGTACTTCCAAGGTGCTCAGGAAACTTATGTGTAAACTGGTTGAATAGCCAGTACACGTGAGAAGGGTATAAAATGTTGCTTCCGTTCCTTCAGAAGGTTTTGTGAAAAGTCAAGAGTCTTGTAGACTAATAATACCTGGACCTATCTAGGAAATTAATTTTGATTGAAGAAAAAAGTGTAGTGAAAAAATACTGTATGAACAGAAATATCCAACCTACATGCTTTAAAGAAGATCTGTATGTCTTGTTACTTGCTGTATTTTCAATTTGGTAATTTATTGGTGTAAAATGTACACATTTCTGTAGAAGGTCTTACAGGTACATAAAGCAGAAAAAGAGAAAAGGATGAGGCAGGATACTGTTGTAGATGATAAAACTCTGGTAGCTGAACGGGGGCAGGAGAAGGGGTAGAATTTAAATAGCTTGTTTCGGCGTATCTCAAGGTTTCCTATTATGTCACTGCAGCTGAATATACACAGACAAGTGTAAAGTTTGCTCAGTAAATCAGGATGAGATATGAACTGGGGTATACATTAGTTCATATTAATGTGGCCTACTGTCAGCATTTATGATGCTGGTGTTCTGACCCCTTTAAGTGTCAGAGTTGGGACAAGATGGGCCTTTCTCTTGTCTAATGTACTGTCATCTTATTTAGACTATATTAGCAAACTCCTGGTTTGCTCTACTTTGAATTCCTGGCCACAACTTACCTTGGCATTCTTCCAGGCAAACTAAAGTACGGTTCAAAACAGCTTTCAAATTTGAATGAAGTGCTTGGAAAGCTTTGATGGCTTTTTATTTTTTCCCAGACTTTGTAGGTGGAAAACAGAAAATTTCTGTTTACTGAAAATCTTTCGAAGTTGAATGGGTAGTATAGTTTAATCTGAATGTTTATGATTTAATCTTTGGTTAGACTTCCATATCTGCTCAAACTCTTTGAAGCCAGACAGCTCTCTGTAGTTGAGCAGATTTGTGGATCAGCTTGGAATATACATCTCCCAAAGTGATCTACATCAAGGTGGTTTCAGCATACGATTCTATAAATGCCTACATACGAAATGTTGAATACAAGCATATACAGAAATGGAAGATTACTTATTTGACACCAGGTTATGTTCTGTTAGGAGGCTATGTTGCTGGATTTAATCTTGCCAACTTGTATTCATAGCTTAGTAGGAACTCTTAATTCCTTTGACTGGTCTTGGTTTTAGGGAAATGTCCTTATGTGCTTGAGTTACCTATCCATTTCTGAGCTACAAAAGAGAAGAAAGGAAGAGAGGAAAGGAATGACAAAGTCATGCAGCAAAACCAATTTTATTTCATTTTACGTTGTTTAAGAGAAAAAAAAAAGTAGATGGCTAAATAAAATTATTTTACTATTAAAATTGCACATTATTAACCTGATTTGTTGTGTATAATGTTCTTATTTATTATTTGCATATTTACAGCTGTTCTTTCACTTACAAAGAGAACGTTCCTTTCCTGAGCACAGAGCCAGATTTTATGCTGCTGAAATAGCCAGTGCACTGGGCTACTTACACTCCATAAATATCGTGTACAGGTAAGTTTCTGAAAAGTATCCTTGTTCTGCAGAAGTTCAAAATAGAACAAATTACTGAATAAAAGCCACTACAATTAAATCATCTTATGGGAAACTTGAAGATAACAGTTTCACCAAAACTTGAAGCTTTCAGCTGGACAATTAAAGTCCTTGCCTATGAAGGTCTTGTGTTGGTGACTGCTGTTTTGAATTAACATGTTGTTTGTTGTTTTTTTTTAAATAGGGATTTAAAACCAGAAAACATTCTTCTAGATTCACTAGTAAGTATGCAACATTATTTTTGGGTTTCTGTGTCCTCTCACAAAACTGACACTTATGTGTATCTGCATGTTGAGCATGTTCTGTTTTTAAAATACCGCTCTTTCTTAAACAGGGTCACGTTGTGTTGACAGACTTTGGACTTTGTAAAGAAGGGATTGCAAGTTCTGATACCACTGCAACTTTTTGTGGGACACCAGAAGTATGTTGACAATTTTTGTGGGTTTTTTGGCTAGTAATTAATGACTGTTGACTATTACTAATATTTGTGTAACTGGAAGATCAAATATTCTGTTTGGTACTGTTGGAGATTTGCATTCTTTTAACAAGCTCTTATGTGAAACAAAACCAATGACAAGCTTCCTGCGGATCTATTCTTTGTCCTTTTTACTGATATGCAGTGTCTCCTACTTACTACCCAAACTCATGCCCATAACTCATCTCTTCCTTCCTCCATTTTTCCAGTCCTTTTCAAACATGGTTTCCTCCCTTGTCTCCTAACTGCTGGCTAGACACAGGACGGTTGGCTTGTGTAAAGGCTGCAAAAGATTTGCCAATATGAATCTACTTACCATATCCTGCCACTACTTTTTAGTAAGTTTATAGGGTCTTAACATCTGTGAGTCTTGAGCAAATTTTGCATATACACGAAACTTTGAACTTGCTGACTGAGTTTATTGAACTCTGTTGTGTTTTTACTGACAAAACGACACTGGAAAACTTAAAATCTGGAAGTCTTGAACACATATGAGGGAGTCACTGAAATGCCAGGATTAGTTTGATAATTTGATAAATAAATTAAATTACAGAAGAGGCCTTTGAAGGCAATGAAGGATGAGGGAAGGAGTAGTATTTAGCTGAAACATTTGAACTAAAAAAAAAAGGCAGGTGGCAACATGCAACAACTTATCCTACTTATGATCAGAGTATGAATCCATAAAGCTGAGTGGTAAATTTGAGCTCAAACAGTATTTGCTGAGTATTTTGGAAATTTCAAGGGACAATGTATAGGATACTGGTAACTCTGGATCTGTTTGAGAACATCTTTGGGGTTTTTTTCTGATGTTCAGAGGCTTAGTCTTCACACTTACCTTAGACTTGCATGAATTGTAATCTAAGTTAATGCTGTTGCTTCATATGAGTTCTTAAAAATATCAAGACTAAACATAGCAGTTGTGTATTAGCCTTTCTAATCCAAGATGTAGATTCAAATCTTTCATATTGCTGCAAAAAGTGTAATGCTCTTCCCAGTATTTCTAAACACCAAGTTGAATGACTGGGTGAGTTCCAACACCTAAGAAGCTGAAAGGAGGCTTAAGTAGTTGAGTTCAAAATACTTTGGCTGCTTTTCATGCTTTTGATGGGTCATTTATAGACAGATGAGTTACAGGGCACTCACGCATACAGATGATGGGTCATTTATAGACAGATGAGTTTCTGTATGCGTGAGTGCCCTGTAAGTTTGAGAAATACTGATCTGATTAAATTGTGAGTTTCGGGCTGTGCCTTGTCTGACAATGCTATCATCTACTTGTAAATTAAATTTCAGAATTTGGATACTAGAATGATAGAAGTGAGAATCCTCTTGTTTTGAGAGGTTAGAAACTGTGTGCTGTACATGAGGACTGAGGTGATGATGATCCAGCCACAGTAATTTTATATTGCGTATTCACAAAGAACAGTCTCCTACAAGTGGCTGTCCTTGTGCTGTAATGTTAGTAAGCTCTGAGATGCTGAATAGATTTCTTGTGAGGCAGATGGAACCCAATTAGCATTGTCATTCAGTGTTTGGTATCAGATGTTTATCACAAATCAGTCGACTATTTGACAAGAATGGTATCAGATGTTTATCACAAATCAGTCAAGTGACTATTTGACAAGAACCTCTAATTTAGCAACTCACAACTCACACTTTCATTGAGATTTACAGTGAAACTTAATGTAGGTCATTCAGTTTCTCAATAATGATAGAATTGAGGCAGAATTAATATCTCCTTTCATTTTTATGTCCTGGATGGGGAGCATACAGGCTTAGGATGGCAGAATAGGCATGGCTAGTAGCCAGCTTGCTGAGAGATGTTGCCTGTGCAGCAACCTATCTGAAATGTAAAACAAGTTTCATAACAGAGGTGGCAAAGTAGTTTGGCAAAACAATAGTGTGGGGGAAGTATTGTTTCAGTTGAGAACACAGCTGTCCTACTTGGTAAATGACCAGATGGTGATGAAGTATTTGCCAGGTTTGTGGAAGGACAAGATAAATACTTAGCAGTCTTACAGTTGCTATGAAGCAATTTTTCCTGAAGGTGTTTACTGGGATGGGACTAAAACCTAGATTTTGTTCTTGCTAGCCTAGTGCTCTAAAATACTTCTTTATTTTTTATTTTAGTATCTTGCACCAGAAGTCATTAAAAAGCAGCCCTATGACAACACAGTAGACTGGTGGTGCCTTGGTGCAGTTCTTTATGAAATGCTTTATGGACTGGTATGTACTTAATATGTGGGGGGCAGGGGTTGTTTCCTTCCCCTCTCCTCCTTTATGTGAAATAACCCTGCAGTGTTGTTAAAGATGCTAACTTTTGCAAAATATTGAAATACTCCACTTAAATGGATGAACAGTTTGTCTTATACTTAACATTAGCACTTGTTTTTCTCTTTTGGATTTTGCATTGCCTCTTGATGTTTAAAACTTTGCTTTCCACTGAACTGCTGGACATCCACTCCAATGAAGACAAGTAGTCATTGCTTTGAGGGAATATTACACAGAATCACAGAATTTTCAGAGTTGGAAGGGACCTCTAGAGATCATCTAGTCCAACTCCCCTGCTAAAGCAGGATTGCCCAGAGCACATTACTCAGGACTGCATCCAGGTGGGTTTTGAAAATCTCCAGAGAAGACGACTCCACAACCTCCCTGGGCAGCCTGTGCCAGTGAAGGAAGAGAGTATTGAGAGTATTGAGTGTATTGAGAGTAAACTGAATCAACAGTGATAATACCTAATAAAAAACACAACTTAGAAGTAAAATTTTGCCAAATACTGGAATAAATAAAATTAGAAGACTTCTTTTACTTAGGTCTCCCAGGTTTTCTCCTTGCTTTTCCACTTCTTGATGCAGCATTAGAACAAAAAAAATCTTACTATGCTGCTTCTAGTCATATGTAATTACTCCAGTAACAATCTGTCCTGTTAGTTTTCTTTAGTTTTATCTCCTCCCATAGGACCTTAAGTAGGGAGATAGATTTGTTCTTCCACTCTCATGTTCTTTTCAGACAAGTTCAATGGGAGCTTTGAAGCTGGACGGCGTCTGTGGCTACTTAGGGGTATGAGAACGTCTTAGGAGAAGAGGAGATGGGTGGGGAAGCTATCAAGTGTAAAGATCTGGCAGTAACGATGGCTGAATTAGAAGTTAGTGCATAAGAAGAGGTAGATTTCTTCTTTACTGCTAGCAGTTTGTATTTCTTACAGAATCATTTACTGATCCATACACATGAAATAAAATGTCACATGTGGCTTCAAGTTCATGTATAACTTTTATTTCTTGTAGCCTCCTTTTTACTGCCGTGATGTTGCTGAGATGTATGAGAACATTCTTCATAAACCCCTAGTTCTGCGCCCAGGAATCAGTCTTACAGCCTGGTCTATTCTGGAAGAACTTTTGGAGAAAGATCGGCAAAGCCGACTTGGAGCAAGGGAAGATTTTGTATGTAATGTCCTAATTTGTCAAGCCCTACTTCGTTTAAAGCGACATCAGTAAATTTGTGTGCACAGCACAGGTTTAATAGCTGGAGATAGAGATTGCTCTGTTATGTCTGTCTCTGTCTTCTTCCTTTTTGTTTCTTCCTTAAAGACACCAGTGTGGTCAATCCCTGAAAGTTGTTTGGGATAGGAGAGAGATGATTGTCATGGGATATAAACATTTTGAGCTCAGTTGCTGCTGTACCTGCCAGCACAGGAAACACAATTCCTGGTATAGTGGTCACCAAGGTGTACTAAGATAGGTTTCACTGTTTGTAGTGAAACTAGGAAATAATCAAAAGAAAAGGCTATTTTTTGGTAATGTCAGCCTAACTAAAAAACCAGTCTTCAGGTAAAGAGGAATACTAGTACCGTGCAAACAGTAGCTCTTTTTTTAGCATTAAAATCATGGCAAATGTTTTCCCAGTGTAACAACAAAAACTTTGTTTGCAAGAAGGTGATGTGAGAAATTATAGATGTCTTCAGAACTGTGCAATGAGGAATAATCTAGAAGGACTTCTTACATCCGTTAATTGTGAGATCTTTACAGTCTTCTTTTTGCAGCCTTTAACATTAGTTAAGTCTGTTGACCTTGTAATAGAGCACTTAAACTGTGTTGTACTTTCTCACAGTGTGGAGCAAGATGAAAGGACGGTGGCATTTTGCATAGCTGTTTGCTGATTCCTAAATAGCATATTGCAGAGTTGTTGAAGCAGACGCTTCTCAATGATCTGCTTTACAAAAACTAATGAACTTTAAAGGCAGTAGCAAAGATACTAACAGAAAACATTCTTGCTCTGTGGTACACTTCAAGGTGGTTGATTTTAAGGCTTAAAAGCAGAAAATATGATTTTAAAAGGAAATCAGTTTGTAGAGGGAGGCTAACAAATCTTAATTGCTGTTTTTACCAACTACAGCTTTTATTGCAAAGTAAACTGTGAATAAATAAACTGATGAAGGACTTCCTTACATGCATGCAGTCTGAAGTACTATTTACTATGATACACAGGATGGATTTCTGAAGTATCTAAAATCTTTATTCCTTGTTGCAGCTTGAAATTCAAAAGCACCCGTTCTTTGAATCTCTCAGCTGGACTGATCTTCTTCAGAAGAAGATTCCACCACCATTTAATCCTAACGTGGTAGGTGCCTGGTGCTGTTTTAGTTCATACCTGCCAAATTTCTGCCTTTGAGGGCTGATGTATTTGCAAAGAATGTTTGTTTCAGAATGGTGAAGAATGGGAACCCCCCAGTGCTGACTGCACTTTTGAGCAGTGATACTGTCTTTTTTTTTTTTTTTTCTTTCTTAAAACTCAGTTTGACATATCACTGTTTCCTCTGCTTGTTCATGTGAAAATACTGTCAATTTTTGTGGGGTCTGAATACCAAAGAAGAAAATACAGATAGCCTCTTTATTTGAAGACTTTCCAGAAGACTGATTTCCTGCTTCTTTTTTTGTAGTTATTAAGCCTTAGTTGTAGCTTTTCTTTATCATACCATCAGTTTAAACTGTGTCAATGTGTGACTGCTTGTCCAAAAACTCAGGGGGGAAGAGTGGTGGTGGGGAGGAAGTCCTTCCTAAGGCCACATCAGAGCATCACTTTCTGTTGAGTCTGTGTCTGTTTGGTGAAGAAGCCTTAGCTGTCTTGTCTCCCCTCTGTGACTAAATACTGCTATGCTTTAGTTCTTAGGTGTGTTACCAGGAAGCTGATCTATTGTAACAAAAGTACCGTTGCTAGACTTTAACACTTTAACACAACTATTATTGATTGAAAAGGGAGCAAGAGAATTTGGTGGGGTTTGGTTTGGGTTTGGTTTTTTTTGGGGGGTGGGGGGAGATTGTTGTTTGTGTGGGTTTGGCTTTTAAGTTTTTTTGCGTGTCCCTAACAGTCATTTAAGGAGGAGATGTTTCTTCATATTTCTTAGTTTTATCACATCATAAAGGTGTGTAGGCTTTGGCCTTAACTCCAGCCTAAAAGAAACAAGCAGGCTTTTACTAGCTGCTTTCAGGGATGCTGTGGTGTGCTTCCTTAAATTTCCTGTACTTAAATAGGAAAGAATGACATAAAGGAGATAGCCTCATCTAAAGGACAGGCACAAGTTTAAAACACTGTATTACTATGACAACTGATAGATCTTCCTGTTTTCTAGGTTGGACCAGATGATATTGGGAATTTTGATGCAGTGTTTACAGAAGAAATGGTCCCATACTCAGTTTGCGTTTCTTCTGATTACAACATTGTTAATGCCAGTGTGCTAGAGGCAGATGATGCATTTGTTGGATTTTCTTACGCACCACCTTCTGAAGATATGTTTTCCTAGGAAGTTAGAAGCCAACAGTGTTTTGGAAGTCTTGGGGTGAACTGAAGTGTTAGGGTCACGGACACATTCCAAAATAGCATAACTAGTGCCTCGTTTTGTATGTAGGTTTGAAACCTATGAACAAACTTTCTCTGCTGTATAGGAGGAACTTGGGCATTTTGGATGGCTTTCTTTGGGGTTTGAACTGTTTGTTCCTGCTGCAGAAAATATTTTTTAAAACCTTTAAAAAGCGTTCTCTACATATTTTTTAAGCAAAAACACTGACTGTTCTCCTCAATCCCTTCAAGTTTACATTTATGCCTCTCTGAGATTTGGCTGGGACAAACAGCAGCAAATTTAGTAAATTTATAAAGCTTTTGTACCTATTTACAGTGACTTTGTGCTTGAATTGTAACTATGCAAATTGTTTTTTGTATATCCTGGTTTAAGGAAGGTAAATTTTTTTCCCTGTTGTATCAGTTTGAAATATATGTTAATTTACCTGTCAGCACTTAAATGAGGGGCTAATACAAGTTAAGACCAAGATTCTTAAAGGACTTCTACAGAATGAGAAGTTGGTCGTGTAAAACTGGATTGTTGCTCTTGCGCTTGCTGAAGTACCCGTTCGTTCAACTGGATTATCTGAGGTATGGGGGATTGCTCAAAGCAAGGATGGAACAAATTAACTGGATTGATTTGATAACATTACTGATCATGTGTTCTGCTTTTCTTTCCTCCCTGAAATAAATACACCTGTATTTCAACTACGTTAAAAATATTTTGGTTAAAACTCTGCTTTTCCAAAGATACAATATGCAATAATCACTGTTACTTTGAAAGGCTATCTTGCTTTGACCTTTTGGGGGTGTGTGGTGAGGGGATCATGCCAAATATTTGGGATTTTTCTCACGGATTTATAGTTTGAAACACTAATATGTTCCAAATTGATTGTATTTCAGCATTCGTAGCTACTTGTCTTTGTGTTCCAGTTTGCACCATTTTTAAATCTTCACTTGATATTAGGGGGAAGAAAATGTAAATTACGCTGATAATTTTAAAAATGTGAAAAGCTATTGTATTTCTCATAACATACATGTGTGTGGACAAACGGATAATTCTGAATAATTTCTGTTTAAGGAAATTTTTTTAAACAATGCAAAAATTGACTGCAGTTACAGTGTATAAAGGCCTATCACGGTAGTAGTTTTATTATATATATTACTTGTAAATAACAACTTATTTTTGTCTGTTACTTCCAAAGTGTTCTGTGGTTTTTTGTTCAAAAATACATTGAGTTAAATGTCTTGATTTGAGAGAACTCTGATAAGACACTGATGAGTAGCCAGAGGTAAACATTAGATAAATTTCAATATTTAAATCCTCTAATTTTTGACAAAATAAGAACTAGCTAAGAGAAACGCTGTCTATATTGCATCAAGATCAGTTAAAAATTGAGAATACTGGGGAGAAGAGCATATCAAAGCATGATTCTTTTGAAATTAATGTTGTGTCAACAGTGAAACATTAGACAAGTGGAAACTAAAACAGGATTCCTTGTTTATCTCAAGCAGTATCTCCTACAGCATCTCCTGCACAGTGCTTAAGTGATGCTGAGCAGTTGCTACACGAGGTGTTGGAAGGAGTGGCTGGGTAAAAGAAGTAAGAATTGACTTTGGCATGGAGGGAGGAAGGAGCTGTATCGTTTGTGGGAGTGGTGTGGTGGCTTGGCGCTCATTTTCCTTAATGCTGCTCTGGGAAGTTTTGAGAGATTTGGAAGTAGCTACGCAGCTGTTAAAAACAACAAACAGCTACATGAATCCTGTTCTTGCAGCTATAATCATTGGGAAGCAACAGCCTTGCCCTTTTTTTATTATTATTATTTTTGAACTTAGGTCTTTCTGATGGACTGGAAAGCAGAAATTGTTTGTAAGAAAGGAAGTATCCATTCTCATACTGAATTTTTACCCTGTATACTCCTGAAATGACTGTGGGCTACTGTAACTTCTCTCTATGGCAAGGAAGCTGCTTTCTGCTTCTCCCAGCATGGAAGTACAGTACTGTAGAGCAATGGGAAGGAGAGGGGATACCTGAGGAGTTGTCGCTGTGGGAGCGATCACCCCTTTTAGTTTCTTTGTCTTGTATTTCCAAGATGTCTATATCTAGCTGCCTGACTGGGTGAGGCGGTTTGGGTTTGTTTGCAGGTTTGTTTTGTTTGTTTGGAGGGTTTTTTTGTCATAAACTTGGGGATTCTTTCCTTTTTTTTAATTAAAAAAAAATGGTAGTGGTAGTTGAAGTTATTTCTGGGAGAGCAGACTAATAATTGCTTATTAAACCTTTTTCTTCAGCAGGCTCTGCCTTTTCGGCAAAGTGTGAATGTGTTAAGCATATCACTTGCAAAACCGAAGTTCACTTTTTTTCTTCTACGATAAGTTCATATTGTGAAATGCCTTGGTCAGATCAGGACTTCTAAATTTAACAGACTTTGTGTACAACATCAGGCAATAAAGCTTCACAATACTTCTGCATCTAGGGTTCTTGTTCTGCATCTCTGCATCACAAGGGGCAAAAGCACAAACTGGAACACAGAAAATTCCATCTCAACGTGAGGAAGAACTACTTCACTTTGAGGGTGACAGAGCACTGGAACAGGCTGCCCAGAAAGGTTGTGGAGTCTCCTTCTCTGGAGGCATTCAAAACCTGCCTGGATGTGTTCCTGTCCAACCTGCTGGAGGTGAACCTGCTTTGGCAGGGGGCTTGGGCTAGATTTCTGAAGGGCCCTTCCAACCCCTACCATTCTGTGATTTCATGATGCTGGCTTTTAAAGTGAGAGGGCTAGGTTCAGAGTGTAGTAGCCCCTTCACCCCTGTTGAGCTGAAAAGTGAAATCTGAAGCCCTAGTTGTGGTAAAGCCTAGATAGGAGTTTGTCAAAGAACCTATACAGGAACCACCTGTGGTACTCCTTTCCTGTTTTGGCAGATACGTAATAGAGGGAGGTAGAAATTCGTCTTTTTGTGACTAATGCAGGGGTTTTTCACCTGTCCATAGTGAAAGCAGATTGTTCCTCCCCTTCCAGAGCAGTGTGAACTGTGTGAGCAGCCACGTGCTGTGGAAGCAAAGGAGCGGTGCCACCTTTATGCTCTCTGGTCTTTTGGCCTGGGAGGAGAGGGAGAGAGACAATGGGAAGATGGACTGACTGAAATGCACAGCAATTGTAAAAACATGACCTGAAACAGGACAGAAAAAGAGAGTTTAGAGGTGCTGTCCTTGGGGGTAAGTTTGCAGATGGCTGGCATGCTAAAGGCACCAGTGAAATACACATTATTTGTTAATCACACAGAATTGCAGAATGATACGGGTAGGGAGTGACCGTTGGAGATCATCTAGTCTAGAGCAGGGTCACCTACAGCACATTGCACAGGACAGCGTCCAGGCGGGTTTTGAGTGTCTCCGGAGTGGGAGACTCCACCACCTCTCTGGGCAGCCTGTTCCAGTGCTCTGTCACCCTCAAAGTAAAGAAGTTTTTCCTCATGTTTAGATGGAACTTCCTATGTTCGAGTTTCCGCCTGTTACCTCTTGTCCTGTCACTGGGCACCACTGAAAAAAGACTGTTCCATCCCCCTGGCACCCTCCCTTTAAGTATTTATAAGCATTAATGAGATCCCCCTTCAAGTCTTCTCTTCACACTAACAAGACCCAAGTCCCTCAGCCTTTCCTCCTAAGAGAGATGTTCCAGTCCCCTCATCATCTTTGTAGCCCTTTGCTGGACCCTCTCCAGCAGTTCCCTGTCCTTCTTGAACTGGGGAGCCCAGAACTGGATGCAGTACTCCAGATGCAGCCTCACTGGGACAGAGTAGAGGGGGAGGATGACCTCCATTGACCTGCTGGCCACACTCTCCTTGATGATGAAAGAGAGAAAATGGTTTTACAAATATGTTGTCTTTTAGTACTGACTATGCTGTCAGTACATGGCCCTTTTCTAGTGACCTGCCTCAGACTGTGGCCACAGCAAAGCCAAGGTGGCGCACCCCATGGCTACTGCGGGCTCAGTGGGGCGCTCATCCCTACGAGGTGGTGGCTGATGGGCCCTGTGCAGCTGCGGGTAGCGGGTGGGCTGGGCGGTTGTTTTCACTCAGGGTGAGGGGGAAAGGAGTTGTTTTCGCACTGGTGCTGCCCTTCAGGGGCCTGGTGGTGGTGTCCTTGGGAGGCTGCAGCCAGCGGGGCAGGTGGCTGCTGGGCTGAGGGGAGCTCTGGTGCCTTTCCTGCCTGGGCCGCACAGCACTGCTGGCTTTGGGCCTGCTGACAGGCAATGATGGCAGGTCCCAGCTGAGGCAGTGGCTCTGGTAGCCCCATCCTGCGGCTGTCGAGCCCCTGGCTTACCACCCTGTAAATGTTCCTGTTTACCTCTCCAGCCAGGCACACCAGCTCCCTCACAGGGAGAAGGCACGGTGGCTGTGGTGTGGGCAGCCCAGCGGCCCTCGCTGCCCGTTGCTGTCTCACAGCAGTGCCGAAGAGGAGGGGATGTAGGAAGCCTGGGGAGTACTTTGGGGAGAGCACCAGTGGGGTTTGTGAGGAGTGGGGTGCTGATGGCAGGAGCCTGAAGCCTGGCTTTGGGCACCGTGCCATGTCACGTGCTGGAGCACAGATGGGCAGGGTTACCCCGCTGTGGGGGCACTGGGGAACGTGGTCATCTTAGTAGCGGGACTGGTCAGATGTTATTTTCTGAAGGTTAGGCAATGACAGTGTTTGGTGTGCAATGACCTAGGCTATAGCTTAGTTCCTCCTGGTCATGTTTGGTGTCCTTTCCTTCTAACCTGGCGAACACAGGGTGCTGGGGGATACAGTGGATCTGTATGTGTGTGTTGCTTTTAATCCCTTCTTGCTGAAGATTTCAAGGGATGGAGTAGTAATTGTATAGGAGTAATCCTAAAGAAAATGAAAAAAAAACCCAAACACCAAAAACAAAACCCACAACCTACTATAAATTCTCTTTCAACTTGTGCTTAAAATTCGATACTTCCGGTCACTACACACCTCCACCAGCCACAAACAGTCGCACTGTGTGTACTGTGGTGCACTGGTATCCAGTTACTCCTCTCTCAGGTGTTTATCAACAGATCAACTTTTTGTTGTCCCGAAGTCAGTTCTGTGAACTCCTACAGGCGATCTTTCATGAGCTGTGAGCATTGCTTACTCATCAGCCCAGTAATTCTGTGTCTTGTCCTTTACCAGGTAGCTAAATCTATTTTTGAAGATTTAAGTGGTGTTTCATACTGGTCATCTACAGAGAAGACAAAGGACACTTTGTGGAAGAAAATCTGTAAGACAGTAAAACAGATATGTACATACAAAATACCCTATTTTGGCCTTAGTAATTCTCCCTCTAAATTCAGCAAAATGCTTCATGGTATGAAACTTTACTTACAAAAAAACCAACAAAAACAAACCAAAACAAACAAAAACCCCACAGAGGTGTGGCTAACACACAATGAAGATGGCACTGAAGAGCATGGTCAGCCTCCAAACCAAAACTGTAGTTGTGAAAGTTTTATCTATGGGAATCAGACTTGATCTTCCGTGTACATGAATGGAAATAAGTGTTTGCAAGATCAACACTTTAACTGGGTGCTACAGGAGGTAACAACAGAGTAGGAAAGTCAGATTTAGAGATGTTGCCCAGTTTCACACTTTTAACAGCTGTAACAGATTTCTCAGATGAGGGATATCTTGAAGTCTTACTTTTGATAGGCTGATATAAAACACATAGGGGAGGTTAAATTAAATGCAAGCTTTAGTTTCATGGGTTAGGCAATTGGGCAGTGAAATAATTCACTGAGTAAACACTAGAGCATTCTTCAGGAATTTACTTTGGGAAAGTAGTATGCTTCAGCCACTGGAAAGAGCTTTCAACTGAATGGTGGTATTTTAAAAATCCTTAAAGAATTGCATAGTTGGAAAATGAGACTTAATTTTAATGTTGTATGGCTTTGTTAATACATACCTTTACTATTATCGTAGCATGGCTGCTTCTAACGTCATTTCTTCACAGTTTATTCCAACATTTTGATAAAGAGTGCAAAGATCTTTTTTGGAAGATGCATCGTGAAATACAGAAAATGAGGGAAATTGCCCTTGTTTACCTTGACAGAAGTGGTGGCCTTCAGAAATTCGTGCATGATTGCAAAAAATACAACGGTATTACTCACTCAATAGATACTCTGTTAAATTGATACATAATGTTACACAAATCTGTTATTTTTATTTAAGATACTTTTTGCTCCTACAGATTCAAAACAAAGTTATGCTGTTTATCGTTTCATCATTTCAATAAATCCTTCTGATATTGCTGAATTAGATGCAACTCTTGGAAACTACATTCTTCATAATCCCATACAAGCTGCACAGATTTTTCAGTCAGTAAGTATATATTTATAGAGAAGAATATAGTACATCATCTATATTTTAACTAAATTTTCCTTTCTAAAATGAAGTTATTTTTCAATGACAGGTATGTTTCATAGCTATTAAGACATTGTCACTAATTGAACAATTGCAGACAGAGGCCCAGGTGAGTCTGCATTGTTCTCCTCCATTTAGATCTTAAATATTTTAAGTACAGTGATGTATTAATATTATTTTTGTATTAGCTCTTCAGTTTTCATTTTCCCTTTGGTTGTAGTATTTATAATTAAAAATTGCTGTCTCACCCAACCATGTTGCAAGAATTTTGAGACAGTTAATATGAAACTGAATTATTTTTACTTCATGTGCATCTGAATTTTTTCTAATAGCTATATGTCACATTGTGTATAAGTAAAGCGGTTTTAAATAAACAAAATATTTTTACAGTATTAATGTAATTGTGTCTCTTGTTAGATTAGTATTCTGCTGAAACCAACACATTTGCCACCTTTGCCAAGTTATGTTCTCAGTCTTTCTGCGTTTCCCTTTAATTACACATCTCAAAGATTTTATATGTCTGAAGGAATAGCAATTGCAATGGGAACTGTAACAAAATATACACAAGGAGCAAGATTCCTTTGCACTGAGGAAACCTGTCCATTTTCTGAAGGTAGTAAAAAAAAAAAAAAGAGAAATCATTACTATTTCAAAAGCTTTTAAATAATTTTGGTAACTTAACAGAGATTAAAAACCTAGCATGAAAAAGGCATTTTCCTATGCAGTCGTCTTATGCAGACATTTTTGTAATGAGCACAGCATGATTTTTATTAATTGAAAGCAGTGGACGTTGCCAGTGGTTGCTCAGTATTTTTAAATGTTTTGGGAGCATAGCTATGCCAGCAATCCATTTACCTAATGCCGAAGATAGTTTATATGAGAAAAGATATGTCACTAATATAATTTATCAAATTATCTAAAAGGAAAACAGCTATACTAGTAGGATACTTTTTTTCCCCCCTTGGTAACTGTGTTTCTGTTTATATTGAAACACTGCAGAACAGTATGGTCAAGTGTCAGGCAAAAGCTTCTAGCATAGAACAGGGTTGCTTTAATGACTGCCTGATTTCTGTGGAACTACTTCTTTGAGTGATGTGACTGAACTGCCTGTATCATTGCAGCATTATGCCTGAAGTACTTTTAAGGCTAGTTTTTTTGCTTCTTCCTGTAACAGAGACCATAAAATTTAAGCAGAAAAGCTGAATCCCAAAGTTAGAAGACTGAAGAATAAATCATAATTATGTCTTTATGAGGGCACGTACCTCTAATAATGAATATCCATATCCTGTGTCATTTCCAAGCAAGGCAGAAGCGGTGGTTACTCGCTCCTGCTGCTGCTCAGAAAGGCAGGCTGTCCTGCTTGGGAATGTCCAATAGGAAATTCTGCCATCTTGTGGTCGCCCTATAATAAATTATACAGATCATTTTACTGGAAGCATAGTATATGAACGTATGCTCATCTCAAGAAACACATGATAAATCTGGAGTTTCACTGTCCAGTATTTTAATCATTTTTATTCTTAATGGGAAATTTAAAATGGAAGCCGTGTACTAATTTTAAATGTTTGTTAAATAGTATTATTTTTTTTCCTTAGGGTTTAGGTACATAAGAGTGCATATGCCTGGAGCTACAGAATCAGCCACAGTGAGGAATGATTTTGTGTGTAGTTTGTGTTCTTCGCCACTGCAGGAAGACATGAAATTTAGAGTACTTGGTGGTAGGATCTACGTAGTTTTATTTTTAGATCTATTACTTTCCTACTTCTGTTACCTAATAAGTAAACAAAATGGTTAAGTGGAAAAAGCTCCAAAATACACCAGTCATTTTAAAAATAAGTACTGTTTTCAAGAGAACTAACCTTTTCTTTGCCTTTATTTTGAAAGACAAACAAATAGTTGAAATGATTGATGCAAAAGTTCTCAATGCTTTGAAAGGATATTCCAGTGATAAATCACACTTTAGGATTCAGACATTTACAGTTTTCTTAAGAGGTAAGCTGAATTGTGGAGATTTGCCAAAAATGTTTCAGAATTGAACTGTAATAATCCCTTGCATTTTCCTTACAGGTCCATTTCTCTGGATAAAATTGTGAAAGTCATAATTTATATTGCAGTTCTTTAATAAAATTAGGGGGGAAAATATGTAAAATTAGCTAGATGACTAAACAGTATGCACGGGTGATTGAAGAGTGCACATGGCAAAACTGCTGTGTTCACTTTTATACCTTCATTTAAATAAAATCTCCTGGCCAGCTCTGCAGTATCACATTCTAACTGTAGCTTGTTTTTTCCTCCTTTCTGCTTCCTTTAGTCATGCTGTTTTGTACTAACTTCATGCCTTTTTAACATCCTTCCTCAATCTGGCTGTTTTCCGCATTCCGTCAGGATGTTTGGCTTCTACTACCACTGCCTTTCACTGCAAACATTAAATGATTTATAATGTGACTATCCAACTAAAATCACAACTTACCAACATGCTTCCATTAATTCTCTTAAAAAAAAAAAAAAAACAAACACCAAACCCAAACCAAACAAACCAAAACCAAACTAACACATCGAAAACCCTGCCATTCCAAAAGTCTATGGAATTGTATGGTTCATTTCTTGAAAACTAAATAGCTCCAAGATAATGAGAAACACTTAAAAACTAGAGCTATATGTGTATTGTTATAAAACAGAATTTATGGGTTATGCCTGCACTAAATTTCCACTGGCTTCAGTGATCAATGAGGCTAGAAAGGGTCTCACAGCTGAGATTCATATTTGGTTGGACCTAACTCTCATTTCCAAAAAATGAATGTGATTCTTTAAAAAGAACAAAGAGAAAAACAAAACAAAAAGAGAAATAGAAAGGTTCCCAAAGCTATTTATGTGTTTCTTTGACATCTGTTTAGTTTGGATTTCCTTTTTACTGTGTTTACTGTCTCTGGTGTTTTATAGGACAGTACCTGATAATGGTGTCACCACAAGTTTCAGGGTAGGAATGCATACTTGCAAACAACTGCCCATTTTCTTTTCAATGCAGAACGAAATACGCCATCCATTTTCTTTATCAGGAATCTACTTTTCCTCGCCCAGTGTGCCTTTATTACTTTTTTGCATTAATTAATTAGAATTGTATGCTTCATTTTTATTCTAGTCTATTATGGCGAACCTGGTATCCAACTGTTGTTTTCTGCAATTAAATAAGAAAATCCAACCGTTTACAATGTGAATGAAAGTTTTCTGACCATGTCTTTAAAACTGTTTTTATGCCCTAACACATCTGTAGGTTCCTGTCTCCCCCCACCCCGCCCCACCTTTTTTTTTTTTTTTAATTTCTAGATGAACTGGCCAATAAAATGAAAATAGGAAACCACTACAGGATTATAGGAATTCCAGCTTGTGTACAAAATGGCTTACAAGCTACAGCGTGTATAGAAGTCAGTAGTGTACAGCTCTGTAAACCAAATGGTAAGAAAGTTCCACTTAAAATTGACTAAAAATAGTTGGAAATCCTTCTAGAACAAAATCTTGAGAATTGGTACAGTTTTCTATTATTTAGAGGTCCAGATTATGAAACTACTCTGGGACTTTCCTCTTACAGTCTGAAATGTACACTTACTGTTATTTGAGAATATATTCTTTTGCCCAGTTTCCATCCGTTGGGAAGCTACATAATTATTTACTGCAGCTCTCAATCTTCTCTTTCCAACTTCTCCTATCCATCGGAAGGTACTTTGAAATCATATGTTAAATGAACCTGATTATTTCGGTTTGTTATTCCTTTCTTATTCTACCATCTTTAGCAGATCAGGTCTGCTACCTTTTTAGTAGTAAAATTAATAGTGTCAGATGTTTACATTCTGAATTTGTGCTTAAACATATTTGTTCTTTGTAAGCTTTGTATTACGACTAGAATGGTGATTTGTTCTACTATGTCTGCATAGCTCTCTTACGAAGTGTTTTTTAACCTGTACTTTGTTTTAATTAGGTCCTCCTTTTGTCGGTGACAATTTTAAGTATCTGCTCTCACTGACTTCAAGTTCATGCTGGAGGTTTACTGCTGTCCTTGCCAATATCTTTGCTTCTCAAGTTGTTCCACCGGGCACTTACAATACTCTTAAGCTTGCAATATTGCTGAGTCTTGTACAGACAGGTGAAAAAGAAAATGCAGATTATCTGGATCTGTTGATTGTGACAAGTGACACGCTAGTAATTGACAGGTAAAGAGATTCCTTATTTTTCACATAAATTAGAATTAAAAACATGGGCATTTTTAAAGATTATAATAGGATCGGTCTTGCATAAAAGGCAAAAGAGACTATACAATAAAAGAATATCCAGGGTCCAACTTGGTAAAAATACCCAGTTTTTATTCCCGGGACACTTTTATTTCTCTCAAATGATAAATCTATATCAGAACTTCACTTATAATAAAACCTCTTAGCACTCTCATAATGATCTCAATAAGATTTTAACACTAGCACCATTTAGCAGAGCTCAGACAAAACATTCTTCTAAAGCCAAAACTGAAGGCTATGCCAGAAGCTGGTGATGATAAAAGCAAAGGGCTCTACTTTTCAAATCTAGTGTCACTTTAAGCCTTTTGATCACCACTTCCCAGCTATCAGCATTTTCAGTTAATAAGCAGTGTGTAAATAGATATTTACATCTTTATCACTCTTTTTCATAAAAGCTATACTGATAAGGTATCAAAAGTCATGTACATCTTTACACGTAGGTCATAAATCTGGCTGTTATTGCCCTTAACAGAATGTTTTTCTGTATTTACCCCTTCACACAACTATGATTTGTTCACACATTTTCACATACACTCCAGAAAAATACAATATGCTCAACTTTAAATTTACATTAACTTAAACAAAATCACTTTCTCCTTCCCCAACTCAAAACAGAGCTTTTTATTTTTGAAAAAGATCTTTGAAAGTGGCATGAATTTTATTTTCATTTGAGAGTTCTTCAACAAATTCATTAGTATTTTTTTCTTGTGGGAAAAAATGCTTTACCCATTTAAAAATTTAGCTGTGGAAATGAGTTCAAATTTAAAAAAAATGTGGGCTGCATAATTTTTTTCCCCAAGTTAAGAGTAAGATTTCATACAAGAAATCATAGGAACCCAGAGTGTTTTGAGAATCAAAACATCTGGTTAATATTAAAACAGTTGCACACTGTAAATCTTGGTTAGTACTGTCATGTGTACTGTCTGCATATGCACATAGTATTTTATTGTCAGTAGTCTGTCAAAGTAGGCATTTCCTACATTGTATTTCTATTGGTATGATAGCCTATTTATTAATACTTATTAATTTTAATTAATAATGTTCTCCATTATTAATAGTAGGATAAATCGTGCCCTGACATCTTAAAATCATTAGCAGCCTTTGACGGTGGAACCAGACAGACAATTTGCAACCTTTTTGTGCCAAGGAACATAGTACAGGGGATGAAAAAGAAATTCTATACCTGCTTTCTCAAAAAGAATCGGGGAGGGGTGGGAGTGGATTAACCCAGGCGGGCAGAGCTTGCAAGTTCCCAACCTTTTCATTTTTCCCAGATGGCCAGGATTGCTAATCCTCCACCCTTTTAAATCACTGGAAAAGTTTTTCTAGAATAGGAGTAGATGTTAACAATATGGGGTTAAATTACAAGAGTCCTTTGACTTCCTAGGAGTTACTTCTATTGCAAACCATCGTCTGCCTCATGTTAAATCCATAAGAAATATAGTCCTGTTGGCGAAGACAGCTTGGACTTCTACCTTTGTATTCAAAGTTACTTTAAATATTTAGCTTTGACACTGATTTTATGTTGGGGGGGCGGTGTTGTTTCTAAGTGAGTCTGAATATATATAAATACCAGTATAAAGTAGTAAGTATAGTATCAAGTTTAATATTAAAGTTTTGAAAAACTGAACAATAATTTAACAATTTATGACTGACAGAATTATTTAATCCTTTAGGCTTCTGAATTACAGCATATGCCTTCTGCCTCATGGTATACGACACCCACCTTCTAGTGAAATTTTTCCTTCTGTTTCTAAAGATAAACACGGAACTGGAAGTGCTAGTATTCACGCTTGCTGGGGGGGGGGGGGGGGCCGGGAGGTGGTGGTGGTGGTGGAATTTATAGTTAAACTAGATTGATTGCGTAACTGATGTATTTTGTCCTGTCCTAGTGCTAGACAGCAGAACAACAACTGTGTTCATTCCTGGGAAGAAGTACGGAGAAGAGGCTGACCAACAAGTTACTATTTCAATTCAGACCAATTTTTGGTCTTTTGTAGATATGGGTTCTTCCTCAAAGAAACATATACAAAAGGATAATTTTCTAATTGGACAGATGGTAAAGCACATGCCTCGTTGACAGTAACTGTACCATAGCAATCATTTGTGTTTATGGTTATTTTAACTTCTAAACTGACAAAACCAAGCAAATTTGTTAGTATTTCCGAAAAAGTCACAACTTAAGTGACTTTAAATCAAGTACCTTCTAAAATGAGCTAGCTTTCCCCAAAGTACGTATCGTTTATTTTATTTAGAATAACTTTTGACAGCTACTATTGAAACAAAATTTTACTGCGTGTATTACAGGTAATTCATTAGATAATATTGCAGGACTCAGTATATATTGATATTGAGCATTTCAGATTGAAAAAACTGTAATGTTCTACAAGTCAAAAGGCCAAAATAAAGTAATTGTTTTCTTTCCCTGGGTCTTCTCTTTAGGACGTGAGTTTGATTCCACCTAACCTTCTAGATGTTTTTGGGCTTCTGATATACAATGAATTTCCTGCTTGTCAACTGCCTTCTCCTGTTATACATCATATCTTGAAAAAAGCCATTAATCCTGAAGCCATGCTGTACAAAGTCTCACAGCAGTTCAGAATGCAGGATTATGAAGAGGTAACCGATACCACCCAATAATTTAGAAATGCATTATACTTGGGAATATCATACTATTTCTGGAATCAGAAGGTTCTCTCAGCACATTCTGATTGCTAATTTTTCAACCTGTCAATACTCACTTCCTACCCTTTCCCCCCACCGTGTCCTCACTACCACCAAAAGGATTGTGGATAAAATTAACTTCAGTTCTTCAAAAGGGCCAGCATAATAAATTGTTTGATCTTGTTTCTGAAAAAAATACTAGGTTAACATTCATATTTGAACAGATCTCCAATACCTACTTTTGACCACAATAGTTTACAATCAGTAGTAAAATTAATATTCCATTCTAAATAGTCAGTATCTCTAGCATAATTAACATTATTGTTTAATAGCTGTGATCTGACCTTATCCATAGCTGAATGTGACAGCTGTCTTTATGAAAACTAGTGGTATAGTACGTTGCCCAAACTATGTCACTATGCCACTGGTATGTTAGAAGGTGTGGAAAATGTCAATTCTTTATTTTCCAGTTAAATATTTAAAATGTGTACCCTCTCTCTAGTTTATTCTGTTTGCTAAGAATCTTCATGTTGAACTGAGTCCAGAAGCAGAAAACCTCATTCAGGGCTACTACGTTGCAAGTCGCAGAGTGAGAAGAGATTCTATTCATGGATCAACATTATCAGCATCTGCATTAAAAATTCTGTATGTCCTACTTTTCAAAGTAAAGGAAACAGACCTACATTTTAAACAGAAATTGTGCTGACCTGCTCGAGAGCTTGTTAAGTAAAAATCTAGATAAGACTTAACTTTGGAAAAGTTCAAGCATAAAGAATCTTATTTACCATTTATTAATACCATTTATTTTATACATTGACATTGGGAAAAAGTGCAAAGAACTTTGCCAGGCAAAACCCAGTGATTTAAGAAACAATTACCACTATTAAAGCTATCTAGAAAAACAAAACTGGGATTTAAATTATCACAGCTTTGTATTATGCAAGCAACAAAGGTATTAATAATAGATAATATGCCAAGTTCCACTGCTTTCATAGCACAAGACTTATGCATAATAGCATATACTTTGTCAGTGACAAGACTAACTATGCAGTATTTGTGGGAAGTTTACACAGCTGAAGTATAGAAAAAACCCACTCCAAACTTAATTTCCAATTTACAGAATTTCTTGAAACAGGGCAATACGTATTGTATTCATGTCTGCAGTATTTTTTATTTCTGACATGCTTACATTCATCTCTTAGGATTTCACTGTCTAAGGCTCATACTAAACTAAGTTTAAGAAAGAAAGTACTTGAGGAAGATGCATTGATTGCCATCTTGTTACTTGAATCATCTCTTACCCTAAAACACGGTAATTAATGTAACTTGGTCTTTGGTACATCGTTTTCATATTTTGTCAGTTTGGAAAGAGTTTGTATCAATTGACTGCAGTAGTAGTTCTTTTCAAATCAAAGTTGTGAATTCCACTGTTGAATGCTGATATAAGAAAAGTCTTTCATTTGATTTTCCCTGCAAAGAGTCTCAGTGCTGTATGTCGTGAGGCCACAGGCAAGCCCCCAGCCTCAATCCTTTATGCTGGCTTATTCGAAGCATCGCATTAACCTGGTCCAGGTTAAACAAAAGACAGACTTCCCTTCCTGGGGAAACAGAAGACAAGGGTTGGGTGTGGTTGGTTGTTTTTGTTTGTTTTGTTTTTTTTAATCTAGCATCACAGTCACATTTGTTCACACACAAATTTAGTACCAAGACTAGAATTATGATCTAACACTTAAAAACAATAACATACAAGATTACATTACTGAGTAATTTGTGTCACAGCTTTTTTTCCTTCAAAGTCCTGGCAAAAGTTAAGCTAAAAGACTTGACAAGTCTTGATTTTTTTTTCTTTGCTTAGGCACATCTGCATTATGCATAGGACCAAATCCTCTATTTCCATTTGACCTCCGTGATGAAAACTCCCTGCAACAGAGAGATAGTTACCTCATGCAGTGTCACCATCAACTGCTGAAGTTTATTGGAGCATATGGCCCAGGAACTCACATTAACATTAATGAAGAGTGAAAACTCCACTCTGTAAGTAAAGCCTGAGGCTCCGACTTTAGCTTTTTGAGAGACTGCAGTTAGAAATAGGCAACTAATAAGGCTTTTAGTATTTTTGTAAGACAGTTCAGTGCCATTTTGCTAAGGAATAGAGCATGGCTGACAAGACTGAATTACAAGTTTTGTGACAGTGTTTTTTAAAGGCAGGAGTGATGTCTTCATCCTGGGAGGCCACAGCTTCAGAATAAAGCCACAGCCTGAACTTCTCTTCCTGACTACCACTGTTCATCCACAGTTAAGTGACAGGAGTAAAGCAGGGTTTTTAATAAGACTACAACTAACAGTTAAACCAGGAGTTTAGAATCTAATGTTTCATTTCAACTACATAAACTCTGCTGTTTTTCTTGTTGCTTCTTTTCAGATGTGTCACCCACTAAGGGTTATAGTTTTAAGTACATTAAAATGTCTTTCTAGTGTAAGCCAACTTTCCTTAATTATTACTCATGTTCCATAAATTTTATAATGTATAAAAGTAAAGTATCACCATACTGTTTGATGTTTTATGTCTTTGTTTTACATCACAGCAATGTAATATCAGACCAGGATGCCAGTGTGCTCCTGCAATCTGAAAAAAAAAAAACCCACAACCAAAAAAACCCCAACCAACCCACCAGTATTTCCACATTACTTTTATATAGAGTGCAGAGAACAATAGAACCCTGCAGGAAAAGTGAAAAAACTGTTATTAGACACCTTGGTAGGTAGGCAGCTCAGTAAACCCTGCAGGAAAAGTGAAAAAACTGTATAACACCTTGGTAGGTAGGCAGCTCAGTGAGTTCAACTCCACATCACTGCAAAAACAAGTGTAAAGAATGGTAGATAGAAGATGAGGTGTCTGAGACACACTATGCTTCTCCAACTATGGGCTTTCCTGTATTTTATGTTCCTGGTAAGGATGGCAGTAATACTGAGCAAGTTCTACATCCAAGAGATCTGTGTTAAAAAAAAAAAGGGAGCAGAAAAATTGTACAGACTTCTGGTCAAATCTGGATAAGCTGAATACCAACAGCTTGGTGTGACTCCTACCCAGGATGTCATCCAGTAGCATCATGGTGCTACTGTTCACATACCCTCAACAAAAAAAAACTACAGTCCCTGAAAACAGAAATCCATGATTTTATTCATATACACATTGCTCTGAAGATAAGCAGAAAAGCTGCCACCATTTACACTGTAAACACTCCGATTTAGACAGGATAACATGTAAGTTTTCCCTACATGTTCTAACCCTTATTCAATTTTGATCAATTTATTTAGTACACTTAAATATTCATACTAACTGTCCACAAGTCCACTTCCCTTTCTAAAGTGACACTCTCACCTGAGCATCATCTGAGGATTATTCACGCATTTTCATTAAACAGCTACTCCTCTGCCTTACTATCAAATCAAGCAGTATTTCTGAGGAGCAGGAAAGGCCATGAAAGTATTTCCGAGTGCATTAGAACTCCATGTTTCAGGCTGCTGTTTTCAAGCTGAAAACAAAACAAAATTTCAGAATAAGTTAGTTTTCTGAATGCTTAATCAATCTTAGACAAAGTTAAGAACTCTACTGGCATTTCAGATTCAAAGATACACATCAAAAAACAGTCAGATGGGTAAACGGCAAAGATTTCATCATTATGCCAGCAAGATTACTTCTAGAATAGACTTAAATAGAATTCCTTTAAAATTAGTATTTTTGACAAGCCGTATTAAGGCAGGTACATCCTTAGGAAAAAAAAAATCCTGCAAAAACAGCACAAGTTTTTATCTTTACCTCTCCCCAGCTTCTCCTGGGATGCTTTAAGCAAAAATTACAATACTAATAGCAGTATGACAAGTAAAGGACAACAAAGTCAGTCAGTAGTCCAAAAACATCCTTGACTAACAGGCCACACCTTCAGCTGACGTTAAGCCAGCACAGCTCCAGATCGCAGCAAGCACGGCCAGTATAGGCCTTCCCCAGCTAGCAGTGCAGCTTACTGGAGCCCCAGTACCATAGTATCACAGTAAAAAAAGCAACTCGCCTTCTTAAAACACCCAAGCTTCTGGAAGTGGATGGAGTCTACCATTGGCTGTATGTGCGTACACAAGGCTCAAAGATGGTGGAGAAGGTCACTAGACGTCATAGCACCTTTAAAAGAATAAATAAAATCAGAAATGATGGTAGCAAATCAGACTGGAAAAATCCTACTAATTAGCTGGCACATCAGATACAACATTGCTCATCACAAAAAAAATCAGCTGGGTAAACGGCAAAGAGTTATCATCATTATGCCAGCAAACAGTTTCCTGCCTGTGGTAAGACTGGTGTAATTTTTTCCAGGATCAAACACAAGGGATTTGTTAAGTTTGTCTGAAGAGATGCGCTTCTATGAACTGCGGTAGAACCTCATTTCTAACTGTTAAGCACAGGATGGATTTGGTATAGCCAGGAACAAGAGACAAAACCTCTCTTTGGGCACAAAAACACAGGTCCCTCCCTGTTGTTATATTCAAGCCCCAGATGACCAAGTATCTTTCTAAAGGTGAAGTTCACTGCCATGGTCACCTTTCCCTTTGGAATATATTCCAACAGACCGATACAGCTAAGTGCCAGCAGGGATGGCGATCTGAACACGCTGTTCTTCACTTTTTTCTCTCACTTCTGTTAATTCCTCAAAGCAGAAGTCTTGGTTCTCCCCCCAGTTAAAAACTAGATGCTCTGATACCGTTACAAACGTCTCCCCTCTTGATTCCTTCGGCATTCTGGGATTGCGCCTGCTTTGTTCTGGGGAACAGTGTCTTAAGATGTTTTATAACTGTCAAAATGCCTTTTGTTAGAATTTCAACCTCTTAATCCTGCATGCAAACAACCATATTCCTCCTTGTTCTATCTGTAAGAGAATTTCTAAGCTATAAAACACCTTTAGAGATCTAGATTTCAGGTAACTTCCCCCTATGTTTTTAACTACAGTAAGAAATAATTACTTCTGTAGCTCCAGAATTCACACGACATCTTCCTGCTTGTAAGGTAACAGCGTGGCAGAGTCCCAACTGAAGATCCCCAAAGCCAGCAACAAACTCATCCCTCAACTTCACTTGCTGCCTGAAACAAGAGACAAAAGATGTCTGATTCAGAGAAATCCACTGCTGACCCAGCAGCAGAAGGCATCAACACTTCCTTGGGGAAAAGTAACCCAAAGAAATACCTGCCTAGTGGGCAACCTCACTGCTGGCTTCATCTCCTGGAGAGAAAACTACAGGCAGCATCACTTGAGGTCAAGGTTAAAGAGAGGCACAACCATTTTACCCAAAGCAAGCTCCAGCATGGAGGATGATTGATTGCAGAGCTATTATGCCACTCCTAATGAACAGCCATCACTGGGGATAACCCTCATTTGCATGTTGTGCTCTGGGTAACTTGCTGATGAGTTTTCTTATCAGTTGAATTAAGGTCAGCACTCATGCCATGGTCCTGGCAGGACAGCACAGCCATGGAGACTGCCGAGACCCCTGGGGTCTGTCCCTGCAGAACCCACCACTGCAGATCTGTGCCGACAACCCAAAAAGGGCATGGTCAGGGTCACCATACAACACTCGCCAAATTCCCCAAAGGAAAAGAAGGCAATTTATCTTTAGAGTTAGGACATGCATTTGCTGATGAAAGTGATTTATCAGCACACCCAAATCTCTTTGGATGACCAACCTGTCATTACTGAGAAGGCTTGACGAACCAAGACATTACCCAAAGTACCCACCACAGCTTACCGGTGGCATGGCACATGCTAATTAGGCCCATCTTTGTCTCAGAAGACATACGCAGGTCACTGGAAAGCCTGCGTGGCCAGCGAGCGTCAGCTTCAACCAGCCACCTCCAGCACCCAGACTAAGCCGTGTGCCAGTATGCGGCAACCGGAACCGCAGCGCAGTTACAACAGCACAACAATCACTCGTCTTTCAAGCGACAGCTCATCCTGCTTAGAGACTATATAGATCATTTTGAACCGTCTAAATTGGATTCCTTACATCCAACAGTACGGGATTATTCCCGATCCCTCCGAAAAGCGCATACTGGGAACCACTCTGCTGCCCAGACCAGCACGTGCTCGGGCCGACGAGCGGAGCCGCTC